TGCTGGAGTTACTGTACAAGCTAAACAAGCTATAGCTTAGCGCCCCACTTTCTTGGGGGCCCCCCAAAAAATTAAAGGGGGGGGAAATGGATGTGCATTTCCAAAACATAAGATAAAAAGTGAATAAAATAAAACCTACATACAGCAACAGTGTTTTGTGTTGTGTAGGCTCCTATTTCTTATGTGCAAATGGCTTTCGATACCTATTAATAATAATAATAAATTTTATTTATATCCCGCCCTCCCCAGCCGAAGCCGGGCTCAGGGCAGCTAACAACAATAAAACAGTACAAAAGTACAGCATAAACAACACTCTAAAATCATTCATTATAAAATTAATTCCAATCAAATTAATGGCAACCATTGGGCTAGAGTTCTGTGAAGATTGCCAAAGGAAGGGGGTCAGACTGTGCCCTGGCCAAAGGCCTGGTGGAACAGCTCCGTCTTGCAGGCCCTGCGGAAAGATGTCAAGTCCCGCAGGGCCCTTGTCTCTTGCGACAGGCATTCCACCAGATCCGGGGCCACAGCCGAAAAAGCCCTGGCTCTGCTTGAGGCCAGCCTAACTTCTCTGTGGCCTGGACCTTCAAGATGTTTTTATTGAAAGACCGTAAGTTTCTCTGTGGGACATACCAGGAGAGGCGGTCCCCGTAGGTACGAGGGTCCTAGGCCGTATAGGGCTTTAAAGTTAAAAAAAAGTAAAGGTAACCCCCTTGCCCGTACGGCTAGTCTTGCCCAGACTCTAGGGTTGTGCGCCCATCTCAACTCTATAGGCCGTGGCCAGCCAGTCCGGAGACACTTCCGGGTTCACTGGCCAGCGTGACATCGCTGCTCTTGGCGAGCCAGACCCACACGGAAACGCCGGTTACCTTCCCGTTGTAAGCGTCCCCCTATTAATCTACTTGCACCCGCGTGGCTTTCGAACTGCTAGGTATGGCAGGCGCTGACCGAACGACGGACGCACCCGCCGCGGGATTCAAACCGCCGACCTTTCGATCGGAAAGCGCCTAGGCGCTGAGGCTTTTAACCCACACGCACCCGCGTCCCTTAAGGTTAAAAACCCAGCACCTTAAATCTATCCTGTTCTCCACCGGGAGCCAGTGCAGCTGGTATAGCCACCGATGAATTGTATCTCGCAGCGAAGACCCCGTAAGGAGTCTCGCTGCGCGCATTCTGCAACCCGCTGAGTTTCTGGTCAGTCTCAAGGGCTCATGAATATGCAAATAAAGTGGCGCCGCCTCCTCGTGAGCGAATAGGGGAGAGCGTGCTGCGCCTATTAATCAGCTCCGGAACAGCTGATATGCGGGAAACGTGGGGCTAGCCAGAGAAGAGAGGGCGAGCCCCCTCCGCTCCGGCCCTAAATAGGGCAAGCCACACACCCCCAGCCAGCCGATTGGTACCCGGTCGTTCTCACGGGGGCTGAAACCGCCAGGAGGAAGGAAATTCCCCCCGGCAGTGCCTTGGCAGTGGCGGTGGTGCTGCGAAGCAGCGAGGCAGGAGCCCCCGCCCCCGGGGATTCCCTAATCTCGCGGGGGACGGCCGGGGCTCTCCGACTAGGGCGCGCGGCTGGCTGGCTGGCTGGCGAGGGAGCAGGTGGGGAGGAGGCGGGGGACGGCGGCGGCGCTCTGCTGGAAGGGCGCCCGAGATTATTGAGGGGGCTGAGCCCCCCAAAAAATTTTTTTGAGGGGGCTCGAGCCCCCTCAGGCCCCATGGAGTCGGCGCCTATGCCGTCGCGTGGATCACAGTGGCTAGGTCAGGGCGAGAGAGGTAAGGAGCCAACTGCTTAGCTTGGCGGAGATGGGAAAATGCCGCCTTTGTTATAGCTGCAGTCTGCGCCTCCATGGAAAGGGAGGTGTCGAAGATTGCACTCAAACTCTTAACGGACGGTGCTGGCACTAATTGCACCCCCGCAAGAGATGGTCCTTAAACTACCATATAGCATATATTCAACACAAAAAACAGTAACAATTTGTTGATGACAAAGGACAGCTGGACATATAAAGGGCCCCCATTCCCTTCAGTAGCTTAAGGCCTCATCAAACCTAAATCTGGCCATGCTTCAGAGTCTCTTGGTCATGGGCAATGTCACAGATCTGGGCATGGGGGTAGCCAGGATTTTTGTTAGGGGGGCAGGACTTTTATTAGGGGGGGTAGAACCTACGTGATTGGTCTGTTAGTTAAATATTTCTTTTGTTTTACTTAATCTAGTGGAGGCAATTGCCCCCCTCCACCACCACCCCGGCTATGCCCATGCTCTTGATCATTATTTTCTCCAGCTTTCTAAAAAACTGTTATTTCTACCACTTCTGCTTCTCTTTATTAATATTGTATTTTTCTGGTAAAATGTAAAGGACCCCTGGACGATTGAGTCCAGTCAAAGGCGACTATCAGCTTGTGGCGCTCATCTCGCTTTCAGGCCAAGGGGGCTGGTGTTTGTCCACAGACAGTTTTCCAGGTCATGTGGCCGGCAGGACTAAACCGTTTCTTGCACAAAGGGACACTGTGACAGAAGCCCAGGGCCGGATTTAGGTTCGATGAGGCCCTAAGCTACTGAAGGGAATGGGGCCCTGTGTATGTCCAGCTGTCCTTTGTCAACAACAAATTGTCACTGTTTTTTGTGTTGAATATATGCTATATTTATGGTAATTTATGGACCTAATAGGGACGCAGGTGGCGCTGTGGGTAAAAGCCTCAGCGCCTAGGGCTTGCCGATCGAAAGTTCGGCGGTTTGAATCCCTGCGGCGGGGTGCGCTCCCGTTGTTCGGTCCCAGCGCCTGCCAACCTAGCAGTTCGAAAGCACCTCCGGGTGCAAGTAGATAAATAGGGACCGCTTACTAGTGGGAAGGTAAACGGCGTTCCGTGTGCTGCGCTGGCTCACCAGATGCGGCTTTGTCACGCTGGCCACGTGACCCAGAAGTGTCTCCGGACAGCGCTGGCTCCCGGCCTATAGAGTGAGATGGGCGCACAACCCTAGAGTCTGTCAAGACCGGCCCGTACGGGCAGGGGTACCTTTACCTTTACCTTTATGGACCTAATAGGTATCTAAAGCCATTTGCACATGTTGCCATGCAACCAGTCCATGCAGAATGTAGGCACCCTATACAGTGGTACCTCGGCTTACATACGCTTCGGGTTACATATGCTTCAGGTTACAGACTCCGCTAACCCAGAAATAGTACCTCAGGTTAAGAACTTTGCTTCAGGATGAGAACAGAAATCGTGCTACGGTGGTGCGGCAGCAGCAGGAGGCCCATTAGCTAAAGTTATGCTTCTGCAGTCCCAGATTTACATACTGTATTAGTATGAATATTACTAGGTCTTTTATAATGTCAAGCTTAAAATTCCCTAAAATTCTGCCGCCACAGTTTAGTGGGGGCATGGGGGCATGGACACACACAGAACAAAGGCACTCTGCACGTGCTCAGGCAGCTCTGCCCCAATATCATCATTTTAGAAAACATATTTTTATTTAGAAAAATGAGCCCTCGGCAGGACCTTAATGGGGGCTTTGCCACAAAGGAGTTCCTGTTGTTACTATTGTTACCATTATGAAAAGCAGCCCTTTTGTCATGAGGAAAATATTTATGAACAAGGTTATTTATGAGAACATTTCTATACCGATATTCATCAAAGATATCGGAGCGGTTTGCAAAAGCCATACATACCCCTCAGCGCAGACCCAGGCCATCACGCCCAAGGACATGGAGACGGTTGCATTGGGATCTTGGCGACTGCCCTGAACATCACTTGTCAGAAGGACAGGACATGGGTTTAACTCAGTGACTAGTAAGTTAAAAGTATTTTACATTTTTATTAGATCAGGACTCCCCTGTCTGGTGCATGTGCTTTTTCAGGGACTGAATAGTGTGAAAGATTATGTGTCATTGGGGGCAGGGGGAAGTGTGTGTGTGTCTCTGTATGAACTTTTTTTTTAGTTATTTTGTTAATATTGCTTCATAGCAGTGCTTTTTTCCCCTAGGGGTACTCAAGCATATGCAATATTGGCACATTTTGTTCTAGAAGAAAAGCTGTAATTCTGATATTTCACTTCTTTTTAGTTGCTGGTTTGCTAATAGTGTTTTTGTAGATTGTAATTGTTTTACTAATTTTCTAATTATATTTTATGAATTATGCTGTACTTGTGATGTTCAAATATACATATTGTTATTCTTTACTGTTTGTAAGCCGCTTTGAGAAACATTTGAATGGAAAGCAGTATAGAAATACAATAAATCAATACCCATATAACAATGCAATAAAAACCATTCAAAAATTAGCTCAAACATTCCACTAAACATTACAAAAGGATTTTTTCCTAACTGCTAACATAAGCCTGGTGGCATTATTAGTAACAGTAGTGTTAAAACAACTATGCTTGCCATGAGGAAATGTGCACAAGAATAAGGGTGCTTTTATTATTATGATTTAAAAACCCTGTTTATCATGAGAAAAACAAGTCTATACAAGATAAAGTGTGCATTGTTATTTATTACTTTAGAACACCCATTCTTGTAATGATGCAAAGAATGTGTGCAAGCTTAAATGTTTGATATTATTATTATGTACTTCAAAATTTCTAAAATCTACAGTTGGGCAATACCTTTATTAGGATGAACCAAAATGTCCACAGGAGTGGCAAGCTTTCGGTTTTGCCAACAAATTTTTGTTTCATCTGACAACAAAGATAATATGCTTCTTGCTTCAGAAATACTGCTTTTACCTTATGAAAATTTAACTCATAGAATAACCAGTTGATTGAAACATGAGTAATTGATTTTAAGATTTATGGGTTCCATGCCTAATACGCCTAATACTCTGCCTAGTTTTTGACCTCACAGTGAAGTTTACAACGAAACAAGAACCTGAACCCGGGACCAACACAACACTGTCCATTCCGGTATACAAATTCATTGGTATGTGCATTGATGTGCCTTTCAGGTAGTCCATAGCCTCATCTGTCGCTTAACCTTTAAAGATGCATCATGTAGACATATACAAACATCTCCAACCCTCTTTTTTTGTTAGAAAAAGCTATTTGTATTAGTGCAGAATTGCTGGTGAACGAATTCTGAGCTGACAAAGACCTTTTGGTACCAATATTTTGCTAAGGACACTGTTCCCAGGAACATCATTGCAAAGTGCTTGAAAAGTCACCCCCCGGCTCCCTGCAGATATTCACTTGCTGTTGTTCAAGCATCAGATAATCAGAGGAATCACAAATTGTAATAACACTGTAATCAATTTATCAGGCAACGTTAAAAGCAACCTATAATCTCAAATTACAGAATATTAGGTAGATATGCCATTGTTTTTTGTCGGCTAAAGAACGGAGAGAAAACTTTTAATTTCCCCAAATTTTATTAAAAAAAGATTCTGCTGAAAGATAAATTATTGCAAAGATGGAATCTTGCATCAGAACACTGAAAGGTGTTGTCATCTCAGGCTCTAGCCAATGGAAAAGCTCTTAGTTGCCTTAAAATGAGAGCGTAGGTGTGCTTCCCTTTGGGAACAAGTGAAACACAAACTGTCCCTTCATCATGTCAAGCTTAAAATGACTTCTAAAAAGCCACTTCAGAAAGAAGAGCTTTGCTAAATACACAATTTAATTTTGAAGCTCTTTTCTCCTTCTGCCTGCTGCTCTTTTTAATCATTTGTGAATTGTGTAAACTTGAAAGAGGTACAAGTTGTAATTTCCCTTCCCTCTAATCCCCCCCCCTCTGCTGTCAGAATTAAATGGAAGTTGGGAGCAATCCACCTGGCCCCTGAAGGTCACTTTATTCCACCTATTGCATCAGAACATTTACCTCTGAACATTTTTAAGGCTCTTATCTAGGTTGAGAAAGAAGTGTACCCGTAATTTCACATCCAAAAGCACATGGACACACTCGACAAGCACCAACTATGAATAAAAGGGGGTGTTTAAAAATTCTCTAAATGCTTTTTTTTTTAAATCACAAAACAATTTTAAACTAAAGAAATGGCAAAAGTGTAGTTTGTGTTTGCTGAAATCTGAGATGACCTAAGCGACCGAGACAGGGTGGGAGTGATGAGAGCTGTAGATGATGTTGCCATGCTCTGACGATGCTGAAGTTTCTTTGCCAGCTCTATTAATGATAGGCAGGTGTTCACCCAGTTGTAGAGATACTCCATTGGAGCTGAGCGAAACTTCCACACAGCTTTTCTGTGTGCACCTAATTGAAATTAAAAAAAATCACAACATGCTAGTTGGCTTACATATTCCAGGTCTACCATTGCACGATTCAGCAAAGATGTCTGGTGTCATGTGCTATCCCTTTGTGCAAATCCTCCCTAAAATTAATCATTGGTGTAGTCATAGCTTCATGACCATGATGTTTCACTTGACTGATTTCCACTTTTGACTGTGACCTCATGCGCTCCTTCCAGTTCTGCTCTTCAGGACCTTGTGGGAAGGAATGATTCCTGGGACTTGCTGGTGCATGCACAAAACCTTGTGTACGAACATTTAGATCCCATTTAGTGAGTTTCTCATCAACAACTACCTGGAATGGACATTATGGTGGATTGTTGAGTTGTTGGTTGGGGCTCTCGCATGGATTATGGTTGCACATTAAATCAGCTGCTAACAGCATTATGCATTAAGGTCTGTATAGTTGGGATGCAGTCTCAAAATGAGTTTTCCTTAAATGTGGTTAGAGGTTGCAAGCTATGCCATTCCTAATTTACAGCTGCATCATGACTTGAGTTGGTATGCCCAACAGCAGGTGGAAAAGCCAGACTGGGAGAAAAGCATGGCTTTGGTTCTTAAATCGAAAATATAGTGAATGTTTTCAGTCACATTTGAAGTTCAGAACAAAGTTAGCTGTATGAACAAAAGGTAGAATGAAATCTGAACCCAAAGCATAATGCCAAAGCACATTTGAAGCACATCCAATCCCCTCAAAGAATTATGGGCACTGTAGATTGTTAGGTGCTGCAGGGAACCCAGTGAGGGGTAAACTACAATGCTCAAAATTCATTGGGGGAGGAAAAATGCTTCAAATGTGCTTTGGAAATACAGTGTATATACCCAGCTCAATTGTAGCAGTGGAAGAGCAAGTCTTGAATACAGAGAGCCATGAATACAGTATACAGTGGCTTTTGTGTGAAATAGGAATTAAGTTTTAAGTTTCCCTTTCTGTTCTGCGCATCATGCACAGAGTTTCCCTTCTGTTCTGTTTGCTACTCTGTTGTCCCAACTAGGCACAGCTAGCTTACAGAATTAACTGCTACAAGATGTGGTCACTACAGCCATTAACTTTGATAGTTTTCAAACTCATGGAAGATAAGACTACCATTGGAAACTAGTCATATGGCAGTGCTCTCTACTGTCATACGGTTGCCATATGTCCGGAATTTCCTGGACATAGCTGGTATTAAGCCCTCGTAAACAGCATCCGGACAGAAAATGCTGAAATGTTTGGGGAAATCCAGATGTACAGCAGCCCATGTCGGCAGCGTTGATTATCGCAATTTTTTTTGAGCTCAACAACTTTTGACGTTCACTTTTTGAAATAAGGCAACCCTATACTGAACAGCAGTGGGATAGAACTATGATCCCCATGTCCTGTTTGTAGACGTCCTATAGGTGTCCTTTTGCCCAGGGTGGGAAATCGGATGTTGGACTATATAGACCTTTGACTTCATCCAGCAGAGTTCTTATGTCAATCCCATCAGGCAGTTCCACAGTTATGTTAATTATCATACACTTACCATGGAGGCAGTTGTACAGAGTCTCTGGTCGAACCTCCACATAGGCAGCAGTTGGGTCAAAGTAGCAAATGTTTTCAATAAGTTCTCCATCAATTTTCTGTAGTGCAAGTAACATAAATGTTAGAAGGTTTATGAGGAAAACATGAAGAGTGGCTGGGAAATCTGGGCTTCATGCTTTTTCAGGATTCTCACCTCTATGCAACAATTCCAGTCCTCAACCTCCTGCGTACCAGCCCACTGGGGGTACAAAATCAGCAGTGCACACTTAAGTATTGCATGCACTAGGCTGGGTGGCTTCTCAAAGCACCTTATTTCACTGAAGGAAGAGAAAGGGTCGAGATTCCAGATGCAATTCTGTAACTCCTGCAGCATGAATCGGTAGAAGAGGACTCCCCCACGCCTCCAGTCCCCCACATACTCTGCCTCTGGAATGACAAGCCAACATTTGAATAATTAGCCTTTAAGTAAAGGGGGCAGGGAGGGGTAGCTGCCCCCCATCAATAAAAATCCATAGAAATACATAGCTAACTGAAGTTCTGCCCCCCCCCAACAAAAGGCCTGCCTTTCCTAACAAAAATCCTGGCTACGCCCACATTTAAGGCTATAGAAACACTGGGAGCTGCTTTATACCAAGTTGGACCATTGGTATAATTTAGCTCAGTGTTTTCTGCACTTACTGGCAACAGCTGTCCCACGTTTCTCTCACCCTACCTGGAGATACTGTTGGGGATTAAAGCTGGGATTTTCTGCATGCAAAGCAGACACTATAGCACTGAGCTGTGTAGAGGCACAGATCTGCTTAGATTGTGGCCTTATATGACTTCAGACCATACCCTGGGGGAAAAAGTGAAGCATCTCCAGCACAAACTGCCAATCTACATAGATGCTCTGAGTACCTAGGGAACCATTCCTATAGGAACTTTGAATCATTTTATGTTATTTTAAATTCTGCTTGGAATATATATAAGAAGAACACACTTGGACTGTCCACAGATTTGCCGTTTTTAACTTGTTGGCTCACAATGGATACAGTACCCTGGTGCAAAATTAAAACAGCTCTACAGGTGCACACTCTTGCTTTGAGATTGTAAAACATGTTTCAAGGCTCGATTCCATTTATCAGCTCCAGAATCTTTGGGTTAAGATGTTGTAAAGTAAAAAGAAAAAAAAGAAAAAAAAAGATAGGGTCCTAAGCATGTGCATAATACATTTTCCTCACCATTAATAAACCACAGCTTGTCTCCATGCATCTGAAATTAGCAAATAGGACTTCCAGGTCTCAGAGGATGAAATTTTCTGGTAGCCCTACCTCTCTTTTTAGAAATTAACTAAAGCAAATTTTGTTACCGGTGGTGCTGGAAGTTTTATTCCAATAATCTTAATCCCACAGTTTCAACCAGCAATATAGCCAAGTCTGTCCGACTTCCTGTCCCTGCTCCCATTTTCTTTGAATATGCTCTGGAGTGTAAATATCTTGAATCTTTTTGACTACCACCAGCACCAGTAGAATTTTTCTGCTATCTAAGGTGCACAATACCCAAGACGTAGAATGGATCTTTCTCTCCAGAATCCTCTTTCAGGATCTCACAAACGGCAGCCTGTATTGTCCTCAACATCTTCTGCAGGTCTCTGTGCTCACAGGTTGGTAGCTTTTGGCGGTTTCCAAGGTTGATGTCAAACACTGCAATGGCCTGGCCCACCTGATTCCTCAGAGGAACAGCGATACGATGTTCTTCAAACAAAAACGTGGTAACCACTACTGAACAGTCTATGCACTTGAACAGGTAATCTCTAAAACAAAAGAGATGACCAATGATAATATCACAGACTCTACATAATTGTGTTTGCTCTTGCATCAATTGCTATATGAAGCCATGAGGACATAAGAAGAACATTGCTGGATCAGGTCAAAGGCCCGTGTAGTCCAACATCCTTTGCTCTCAGTGACCAAACAGATACTGAACTCGAGTGTAACAGCCCAGTCCACACTTGTGATTTATGAAAGCTGGTATCTTGCCTCTGACACTGGAGGCAGAACATAGCCACTGTGGCTAGTAGCCAAGGATAGCCTTATCCTCCATTAATTTGTCTAATCTTCTTTTAAGCCATCAAAGTTAGTGACCGTCATTACGTCTCAAAGCAAATTCTATAGTGTGAATAAATACTTTCTTTTGTCTGTCCTAAATCTTAGAACCTTAAGCTTCATTTGTTGCCCCCAGTGGTTTCTAGTATTATGAGAGGGATAAAAATCTCTCCCATGTCACTTCCCCAACAAGCAGGTTCATTGGGTGACCCGACTGAGGTCCTGGACTTTGAGGGACAAAAACTTTCTTCCCACTTTCTGCACACCATGCATCATTTTATACACGATTATCATGTTCCCCTTTTACTCGTCTTTTTTCTAAATTAAAAAGTCTCAAATGTTGCAATCTTTGCTCATAGGGTTGTTGCTCCAACCCACTTGATCATTTTGGTTGCCGTTTTCTGAACATTTCCCAGCTCTACAATATCCTTTGCTCCAGCCAACCCGCTGTTGTAGAAGCTGTTTGACACAAACTTAAAGTCAATGTTGAGTATACAAAGCTTGTTGTATGGTACTTTCTGCCTTGCAATCTAGCAAGGATGGCAGATGAGCACTCTTGGGATGTGTTCATGCTCCTGTTTCCTCTGAATCCAGTGTGCTGTTTAGGGAAGTGGCATACACACACAAAGTTAGCCACAATACATATTGTTGGCATCAGTTTGTCTCAGGAGACAATGGAGAAGTGTAGTGTGGCTGTAGAGACCAATATGGGAGAGACATGTTACATGTTTAATGAAATACTGCATTTTGATGTGTTTTTCACCAAACCAGCTTCAATCCAAATGGCGGGGGGGTTGACATTGCTGTATGGTGATGTGTACACAGCCCTAGAGTCCCCACTGTAACTTCCTCTCCCACCATGGTACAATCTGCAGTGAGACTTGGCCAGCTGTACTAGGCTGCAAGATAAGAACAATTTCCTTTGTAGAATTTAACAAAAAACAGGGGACTCCAAAGGCATGCAGACAACTCTTTGGCTAAGTTCAACCCCTTTGGAAAGCTGCATTGAACAGATAAGCCTGTGGAGTTGTGGCTAAGAAAATTAAGAGTATTGGATAAGAACTGAAGGAACAACATGGTTTACTTTGGAAGATGAGTATGTTGCCTCTCGAGAAAGCCAGGCAAGTGTTCTTAGCTTCCAAACCACAACTTCATTACTCCAAAGGAGACTCTATTGAAGTCCACGCAACCCAACAGCAACCCCAAATACTAAGCCCAGGATGTGGAAGCGAGTGCCACCAAATGCTCTGATTTTTGGCACAGTAACCAATGGGATAGCCATGGACAAAGAAGCACAATTTCCCTCAAACCAGTAATCAAATGGAGACAGAGCCCCAGGTTCATACAGAGTTTCACCTGACAACACCCACAACAAGGGCCTCAAGCATGCTTTGGCACCCAGATTGCAACCAGTATGTTTTTAAGCAGACGACAATCCAGATTCTCCAAACAAAATGTATACTGTGCTTTTCACCAATCTTACCAGGGACCAGAAGTTAGAGGCAGGGACTCTGGAGCTGAAAGGGAAGGGAGTACAGGGCCAGCCCCAGAGGTGCTGCTACCAGAAGAATATGTGGGGCCAGTGTCCCCTCCCCACCACAAATCAAGGGTGTGCTGCCATCTTCTGATTCAGAGGTCTCCACTGTGGAAGACCCTAGACGACCTGAGCCTCCCCTGCTTCGTCGTAGTAGGAAACTGCTGGGAAAAGGCTACATTTTGCAGCTCTGGTGGTGCCAACAATCAGGCTGCACCTGCTGCTATTACTATACAAAAGGGCTCAGTTTCAGCTTGTTTCCCAGAGTCTGACCTGAACCTTGTCCTCTCTTACATCCTGGCTGCACCTCACCTCACAGCAAGGCAGGCAAAATAGAGTGGCTGGGGAGGGAATGCTTACACTTCCATGTGTGCTGCATTCATGAGGCAATCATACATGTGCCTTTGTATGGCTGGAAACATTTTAAGAACCCACCACATGGTGGCTAAGTACATCATTAATGTAACCTATAATTAGGCCCTTTATATTGTAAATCATTTTGAGCTGCCATGGCAAAAAAAGGGGACCAATACATTTAAAATAATGATGATAATAAAGCTCACCTGAATATGTTATCTCTTCTTCTGACCACAGGACCTGGAGGGAGATGGACTTCCAGCGGCTCATTCTGATCTGCAGTCATTACTTTACGCAAGGTATAGTCATGCATCTTGAAAAGAGAAAGTGCAAAGAGCTTGCCAGGTGGAAAGCAACTCAAGAATAGATGTGTAAATATTTTGGGAAGGGAGAAAGACTAAAAAATTATGAGGGACAATACAGATTATTGGCCAGTGAATCATATGAAGCTAACTTTGCCAGGTCAGACTGTTTGTTCACCTAGCCCAGTACTGTGCACTCTGACTGGCAGCAGCTCTCCAGGGTCCCAAGCAGAAATGCCAGGGGTGGAACCTGGAGCTTTATGCATACATATAAATAGGGGTAAAGGAATCTGTCAATTTTGGTTTCTCTCAGTTTCTCATTTTCCCCATCTTAAGTTCAGTTCTCTACATTTCCACATCAGCTTGCATTTTAAAAAGAGTTTATGAAAATTCATCAGTATTTACCATACTTTCCCATGTATAAGACTAGGTTTGTTTACTTAAAAATTATGTGAAAAACTGTGGGTCATCTTATACACAGGGAAATCTCCCCCCTATTTTCTTAAATTAGAGTCCTAAACAGGGGGCGTCTTAAACATGGGGGTATCCTATACACGGAAAAATACAGTAAGTACAAATTTATCCTAATACACATATTTTCTATGCAATTTTGCTTAATGTACACACTTTTGCAAAGCACTCCCCCTAATATAATGCATTTGTGTGTGCTATTTTTATTAATATAGACATTTTTATGTACAGTTTGCATATTCATCCTTGTACACATCACTTAGCTGGAAAGCTGCACTGCAAAATTAAGAGGAGTGAGAATTTCAAATGATGGCTGCTTTTCGGTTTTGCATTGTTTCAAAAAGCGCAAACTGGGTAGGTTTGTGTTTAAATGCTAACTGAATGCTAGTGTTTGAATAGAGCTGAACCAGATTTAGTTTGTTCATAAGAAAATGTTTCACTGGAACTGGGTTGGAAGAACAATAAACTGCCTCTCACAGAAGCCAGGGCCACAGGTTCTAGTCTAACATGCTACAACACACATTGCTTAAGTGAGAATGGCCAAAGGCTCACCACCTGCTAAGTTGTGAGAGCATTTGCTAAGTGCCCGAAAATGCTGAGCCCTTATGCCAGCCTTGGATACTATCAATGAGGGGGTTCTTTTGGGCTCAGCTTGTCATTGGGTTATGTGGCTACTACAAACCGCGGAGGCTGGGCGGGACAGAAGTTGTAGTCTAGAATACCAGGTTACTGCCAAAAGCGTGATACCATCTTGATATCAAAGGATGCTTCTTGCAAAGTAGGAATTTAATCTTCAGTCCCTTGAAGAAGAGTTAAGTAATGCATCAGCTCCACCTGCTGATAGCCTAAGGACTAACCACAGAAGACCTTTGCATCAATTCTACATTGTTTTTTTTTGCACAAACTTGAAGTTCAATGCCACAGGACCTGGGGTGGGTGTGGATTTTATCCGCTAAATGACTGCCTGTCGAGTACAGTACAGCGGTACCTCGGGTTACATATACTTCAGGTTACATACGCTTCAGGTTACAGACTCCGCTAACCCAGAAATAGTGCTTCAGGTTAAGAACTTTGCTTCAGGATGAGAACAGAAATTGTGTTCCGGCGGCGCAGCGGCAGCAGGAGGCCCCATTAGCTAAAGTGGTGCTTCAGGTTAAGAACAGTTTCAGGTTAAGTACGGACCTCCGGAATGAATTCAGTACTTAACCCGAGGTACCACTGTAATTGTTAGAGGCACCAGAGTCCACCACAGCCCTCTGGTGGTGTATGGGGGTAAGGTTGAGATTGTACCATTTGTTAGAAAAAACGGTTCGGGAAGGGCTGTAACTCAGTCATGAAGCATCTGCTTCCCTGGAGAAGGTCCCAGTTATAATATCTAGCATCTCCACACAGACCTGGGAATGTCTCAAGCCCTGGAGAGCCGCTGCCAGTCAGTGTAGTTAATGCTGAGATAGATGGACCAATGGTCTGACTCAGCATGAAGCAGCTCCCTATGTTCCTAAAAGAAAAAGACTGGGGGGGGGGGGAAATATGAATAGAAAAGTCCCGCCCCCTTTTTCTGCTTTTCCTAAGTGCTCCACATACTTTATCTCAGTCCTCTTTGCAATTGCTAGCATATTACCCTGTCCTCGCCAGGCTCCATGAAGTACGTAGTGATGGTTTGAAGGAGCGACACACGGGTGAAGAGCCACCCCAGAGCCGTGATGATGACCTGCATGATACTTTCCTTGGTGCGGATGTGGTGGTAGGCTATGCTGAACGTGTTTGCAATCCCCTAGAGGATGAACACATGTTATAATTTGTTTGGAAGCAATGTAAAATTTTAAAGCAGGAATGTTATCAAACTAAGCACATCAAAGGGGCTTTTGAAGCGGAGGACTCCTATAGGCAACACCACTGCAATCACATACTCCAGTGGAATGAGCAATGTCCACAGAATCCAGCCAGGCCCTCATGCAGTGACTGTGGCTGTCCCCTTGCAGCCTCCCTGCTGCCCTCACCTGATAGAAACGGATTTCGTGGGGCACAAAGATGGTTTTCTCGTTCTTGTCCTGGAGAGTGTCCAGACCAAGAACACCAAAGACTCTTCTTCGGATATCCTCAAGCGGCAGCACCAAGAAGGAGCCCTTCCTCTCTTCCAAGGGGCGATCCTGGTTCCAGAAGTGGATGTTTCCATGCAGCTGAACTCTGGGGACATGGATTGGCCTGTCGTCTAGTGCTGCTGCAAAGCTAAGAGAAAAAAGTGAACAGAATAATAATAATAATAATAATAATAATAATAATAATAATATATAATTTTATTATTTGTACCCTGCCCATCTGGCTGGGTTTCCCCAGCCACTCTGGGCGGCTTCCAACAAAGATGAAAGATACACTAAAATGTCACATATTAAAAACTTCCCTGAACAGGGCTCCCTTCAGATGTCTTCCGAATGTCAGGTAGTTGTTTATCGCTTTGACATCTGATGGGAGGGCGTTCCACAGGGCGGGTGCCACTACCGAGAAGGCCCTCTGCCTTGTTCCCTGTAACTTGGCCTCTTGCAGTGAGGGAACCGCCAGAAGGCCCTCGGAGCTGGACCTCAGTGTCCGGGCAGAACGATGGGGGAGGAGACGCTCCTTCAGATATACTGGACCGAGGCTGTTTAGGGCTTTAAAGGTCAGCACCAACACTTTGAATTGTGCTCGGAAACGTACTGGGAGCCAATGTAGGTCTTTCAAGACCGGTGTTATATGGTCTCGGTGGCCACTCCCAGTCACCAGTATAGCTGCCGCATTCTGGATTAGTTGCAGTTTCCGGGTCACCTTCAAAGGTAGCCCCACGTAGAGCGCATTGCAGTAGTCCAAGCGGGAGATAACCAGAGCATGTACCACTCTGGCGAGACAGTCTGCAGGCAGGGAGGGTCTCAGCCTACGTACCAAATGGAGCTGGTAAACAGCTGCCCTGGATACAGAATTGACCTGTGCCTCCATGGACAGCTGTGAGTCCAAAATGACTCCCAGGCTGCGCACCTGGTCCTTCAGGGGCACAGTTACCCCATTCAGGACCAGGGAATCCTCCAGAAAAGCGGAAGAGGAGAAGCTTTCAGGAGTCAAGTGCCTAGGTAGAAAACATCATAGCAGCAGGCATGGGCAGGAACACTCCGAACATTCTCATTACAGGAAAGAGCAATTTGTTAGGGGAAATGGGTCTCGTCAGAAGAGGTCATAAGAAACCCATCACTGAGAGTGCAAAATCCATTGCCTTCATATTTCCCATGTAACGGAGAGTGAATTTACACCTTCATTTTGCTGCTGCGGCACTTCCTTTCTCTTGCTTGAGTCCCTTGCTTTACCTTGAGATGAAAATGAGTCTTGTTTCTGTTTGTAGTTATTCTTCTTCTAGGAAGCTTACCCAGCATGGCTGAATGCGTCTACCTTGACCCCCAGGTTGATTTCTTGTGTATTTTGCATGAGAGCAAGGGATAGGTTAATTTGTCAGTTTTGGTTTCTCTCCATTTTTTCCCCAGTCTTAAATTCAGTTCTCCACACTTCCACATCAGTTTGCAATTTTTTAATATAAAAAGGCCTCATGAAAACTCATCTAATATACACATGTTTGTATCCATATGTACATATGTTTGCCTAATATGTACAAGTTTGCAATCAATTTCCCCTAATATAGTGCATCATGTATGTTACTTTTACTAATATATGCATTTTTATGCACACTTTACCATTGTATATACATGTTTTACACTTTCATTTCAAAATTTAGAGAAGTGCACATTTCAAACCATGGCTGCATTTCAGGTCTTGTGTTGCTTTGGAAACTCCAAACTAGGTAGGTTCACCTTTGAATGTGAACCACCCCCTGTCCCTAATGATGACTCACAATTGGCATTAAATAATTTTGCTCCGGGACGCGGGTGGCGCTGTGGGTAAAAGCCTCAGCGCCTAGGGCTTGCCGATCGAAAGGTCGGCGGTTCACATCCCCGCAGCGGGGTGCGCTCCCGCTGCTCGCTCCCGTTGCTCGGTCCCAGCGCCTGCCAACCTAGCAGTTCAAAAGCACCTCCGGGTGCAAGTAGATAAATAGGGACCGCTTACTGGTGGGAAGGTAAACGGTGTTTCCGTGTGCTCCGCTGGCTCGCCAGATGCGGCTTTGTCACGCTGGCCACATGACCTGGAAGTGTCTCCGGACAGCGCTGGCCCCCGGCCTATAGAGTGAGATGGGCGCGGTGGTACATGCTTGACTCCAGTCAAGCTTGCAAAAATCTACCACTTGTCTGATAATAAATGTTGGAAATGTAAAGAGTCTGAAGGTACATTCTTTCACCTTTGGTGGACGTGCCCAAGGATTAAGGCTTTCTGGGAAATGATTTATAATGAAATGAAAAAGGTATTTAAATATACCTTCTTGAAGAAACCAGAGGCCTTTCTCCTGGGTATGGTCGGCCAATTGGTGTTAAAGAAGGATAGAACTTTCTTTATGTATGCTACAACAGCAGCAAGAATACTCATTGCAAAGTATTGGAAGACAGAAGATCTACCCACCGTGGAAGAATGGCAGATGAAGATGATAGACTACATGGGACTGGCAGAAATGACTGGCAGAATCCGAGACCAGGGAAGAGAGACGGCGGAGGAAGATTGGAAGAAATTTAAGGACTATCTTAAGAAACATTGTAAAATTATTGAATGTTAGAACGATGTTGATTTAGAAATTAAGGGGTTTTCAGCTGTAATGATCATGAAATTAAGAAAAGAAGGGTCAAAAATTAAATAGAAATTAGGGGAGGGATTTGCTGAATTGAATTAATTTGAGATTGGAATACAGAAAGGGGAGATACGAGGAGGTCGGGAAAGTAGGTTTTTACAAATATAAGGGTTTGAAATTATACATGTTGTTGTATGTGTTTTTTATGTTTGTATTTTTGCTTTTTTATGTTTTCTGTTTTTTCTATTTTATATAATTTTTTTTAAAAAACCTTAATAAATATCTTCTAAAAAAAAATAGAGTGAGATGGGCGCACAACCCTAGAGTCTGTCAAGACTGGCCCGTACGGGCAGGGGTACCTTTACCTTTACCTTAATTTTGCTCCACTTTATCATTTATGATTTTTGAGGGAGACTTGGGAGGGAGGAGTCTTTTTGCTCTCTGATGTCTTTTCTGTTCTCAAGAGGTGATGTTTCTGTATTCACAGTGGAAAGCGCAATAAGGCACTTTCCTCTTGCCTACAGAGGGTTAATGCTGTTTCTCTTATGCAAGCCTCTGTTCTGACAATAGGTGCTGCTAATTGTCTCTTAAAGAATTTGCGATTGTTTCCTAACTTTCAATTAGAGATCCTACATGTTAAAATGCAGAACCAAAAATGCATGCTATGCTAAACACAGAAATATAATCACCCATACTGATGTGCAGTCTTTCCCACACTTAAGCCTAATTTTATTTCAGAAGCAAATGATCACCCCAAAAAATGAAACATCTTTGTGGGTGTTTTTCTTACCTGACTCCTTCCATATCCATGAAAAGTGATTGGTTTAGGACATATGGAGCATCATCCTCTGTGCATGCTACATAGTGTAGGAGAATATCTCCTCGCTCTGGGGAAACCAAGTTATATTCCAAAAGGGCGATATAAGCACTGATCTTCTTGCTGTCTCCGTGGGCATCTGTGTCCTGCAGATGAAAGGCAGATGCCTCAGCCAGTCATCTTTATACACATGCCCCATGCTCCTGGCTAGCCCTCATTTACATGGAACTCATTCTGTTTCTCCCCAAGTCTGCATGCTTATTCATTTGAAACAATTTCATAGACATGCAAGGCCCACTGCTCTTTGTGGGGTTCATCATACAATTGCAGAGTTGGAAGGGATCCCGGGGGTCATCTAGTTCAGCTCCTGCACTACAGGAATCTCAACTGGATCATACATGACAGATGGCCATCCAACCTGTGCTTAAAAACCTGTATGTGCATGTTGAGGTTCTGACAACATGTCAGCAGGTGAATGACACTGGGAACTATCCCACAATTTAATAGAATTGTTAAGAGGGTCAAAACCTAACCTCTTGTAACAAGCCAATCATATCTGGGGCAACAGGGAATATGTATCTGCTCTTTTCTATGTGACACAGTTCTTCAAGTATTTCAACAGCACTATTATAATCTACCTCAGTTTTCTCCAGGCCAAACATAGTCCACTTCCTTCAGACTTCTTTTCACAAGACTTACTGTCCAAATGTCCATCTTTATTGCCCTCCTCTGTTTGTCTTTTGTCTACATCCTTCTTAGAATGGCTGACCCCATAACTGGGCACAGAACTCCAGTTGTTTGAATACAATAATGTGTCTTCACTGCTAAGAGGAATCACAGGAGCATGAATCTGTCTCAGTACCTGAGTTTGCCCCATACATAATGCCATTGCTGGTTCAGACCAAGGTTTACCTAGCCCAGCACTCTTGCCAGTATTTTGCCAGACGTCGACTGCATCTCTTCGTTTCTCTCCATCATTTGGTTATATAAGCCCAGTGATAGCTACCGGGAACATAGAGGTGTAATTTTGCTACCATTTGGTCCTTGATTCAACTGCCCTCCATCAATGCAGCTAATCTTCTTCCCCGAAATGGAAAACCCCAAAACACATTGGCCTTTCCATGTAAGGAAAGACTGTGGCAGAAACACTCACCCGACAAAGAACCTTGAATAGGACATCATACACCGGTTTGATGCACCCGCCATTAGTCATGGCTGCGTGCTCCATCTTGAGCAGCCACTTCCTCCGCGCGCTGCCTCGCAATCGCTCTGCGTGGGTTCGCTCCACGGCCATAATGAGAAACTCCACGATGTTATCCAGCAGTTCGTCTTCGTCGCCGGTGAGCTCAGAGACAACCAGCTCCATGTAGGTTTGGAAGTCTCTTTGGGATAACTTCACAATCCCGCTGGGATGCCACTGGGGTATGGGGAGCTGAAGCTTGGCTGTGCAGGTAGCGAAAAACAATGGCAGGGTCAGGCAGGACCACAAGCAATCCCATATGCCCACTTTCCCCCCCCAGTCCATTCTTCACACCAGTGTCCATCAGATGTCAAGAAGGAACAGATCCAATAGTTAAGAGTAGGCAGGTGCTTGCTCTCCTTTGTTTTTTTTGTTCGTTATGAAAATTGTGTACCCCACCCTTCAGCCATGTGGTCAGGATGGTGACTACAACAGTGGCAACCTGCATCTTGTGGCCATCGTTCCTTCTCCCCAAACTTGGATCACGCAGTGTGGTTATTTACTTCTTATTTTGAGGCTTTGAAAAATAGCTACAGATTTTAATACTCCTATTTTGACCGGGTTGTTGGGAACAATTTGATCCTTGAATTAAATTTTATAGAAAACGGGGGTGGGGGATGAATCTTAAGTTCTCACGCTTCATGTTTTGGGAAGGAGCCATAATTCAGTAATAAGAGCACCCTCTTTTCATGCAGAAGGTCCTGGGTTTGGTCCACACATTTCCAGTTAAAGGACTTTAAGAAGTAAGGGTGGGGAAGACCTTTTTCTGCCTGGAACCTTGGAAAGCCTTTGTCAGTAGGAAATACTGAATGGTCTGACCTAGGAGTGGCTTGCTGTGTTTATCCGCATATGACTTCTTGCTGCTAATATACTTTTGCACACAAGAGGGAGCCCTTGTACAGTTTTTCCAAATCGTTATTTTTCAAAGAAAAGTTCTCAATAGGAAGTGCAGAAAAAGAGACAATAAATAGAAAAACCTTATTATGCTATCTTTTGGCCTATGCAGTTCTCTCTGGAAAATTGCCGGGCTTCTATTTTTTATTTCATGCACAAGTAAAAATTGTGGGGATCCCAGGAATGGAAAGAAAAGCTTCCAGGTGTTTGGTATATCAAGTGAACAGGTAATCAATACAGGAAAAAATAGAAATGTGAAATCTGTTGTTAATGGCATATGTCTGTGATCAATATGTATAATGAGGTTAAAGGGCAAGATGATGAATGGGGGACTTTTAGGAAAACAAAGTTTTTGAGCAAGATAAAGTCCTCTTCAAATATTTAAGGCCCAGTCAATTTTATGGGCAATGAGAATTAAGGGCTGGATCAGGGCAGCTATCCTGTTTCTGTGCCTCTTGGAGCAAAGGGCAGCTGAGTGACCCTGTCAATACTGATATCATATGGCAGGCAAAACATCTCTCAGCTTCAGGATTTGCCATAGTTGTTAGCTCACATCTAATTATCCCATTTAAGTTTTTCTCACAATAAACTTTTTGACATTGATAGACCCAGGTTACTCTTGCTCATTAATTTCAGTGGGTCTATTCTGAGTAAAACTTAGCTGAATACCACCCTAAAACAAGAGTTATAAAATCTGTATATAAAAAAGAACAGGATCTATGTTAAATCACAACGAACACAATGTTTAAAACTGATCACAGCAGATGCTATTTATTGATTTGTTCTGATAATTTTGTGGGGAGGTTATATGAGAAAATGTCAAGCAATTTTTATCCTACACTTTCCAGTGCCTTTCCCCATCATTTTCCTAACTGCAAAGGCCTGGTTTTGTTTTATTTTCTGAAGTAGCTTCATTGTGTTATGTTCCAGATCCACTCTAATGCAACCTGAATTTGCCCATATGCAACTGAATCTGGTGTGGGAAGTAGTGACAGTCTGGAAGCAGCATCACTCTTTTTATTTTCTGGGTAGATGGTGGAAAGCATGCTCTCCCCAGCAGATCTTAAAGGCTGTTCATTTGGGTGAAGGAGATGCTCCCCTACTGAGCCTTCAAGGTGCCACAAGGCTTTTTGCCGTTGCTGCTGTAACTAAGATGAAGGCTACAGCTGAACCAAGCTGAGTTGGTTCAGTAGCAAACTAAGGTAGCGGAAAGCCTTTCTCCTACCTTTGTTTAATGCCTCTTGCTCCATCCCTTCCTTAAAGGTGGACAGAACAGCATCCACTTCCTGCATGTCCAAGAACCCGGAGCATTCATTATCCCATTTCTCAAAGAGTGCAGCCAAGAGGAGCTGTTGCCGGACCAAGAAAGAATTCTGGTGGATCTGATAGAGACAGAAGGCAAAGAAAAAGGACCGCACATCAGCAGTTGCAGCGGATCATGGGCACAAGCTCAGCACATACGCATAAATAACAAACTCATGAAACATGGTGGTTGAAAAAGCTTGGAGATGGACTGGAGTGTGCTGAGCTCTGACAATATGTGGCTCGTGGCAGGAATGGGGAATTTGTAGCTGGACTCCAGTTCCAGTCAGGGTCAGCCCTGCTGTGAGGTGTGGTGAGGCAGTTGCCTCAGGTGGCAGATAGGGGACAGTTTGCAGTGTCCCCAAGAAATGCTTTGTGCCACTCGCTGCCTCCTGCACTTGTTGCCCACTGCTGCTGCTGCCACTACCTGTTCCTCTCTGGCCTACTTTTTTCTCCCCTGTCACCTTCAGTGGTAGTGATGGAGGCCAGCTTTGTCAAGTGGAGGGGGTGGTGGGAGGGTGGCTTTGGCAAGTGGCTTCAGAGAGTGTGTGTCATTTTCTGCTTTCCCTCAAGAGGCAAAATGTCCTGGGACATGCCTGACTCCTACCCTCCCTAGCCATTCAGCCTGCCAGTTTGGGTCAATGAGAGTTGGACTACAACAACATCTGGAGGGCCACACAATCCTCACCAGTGGCTTATGGGTTTGCGTAAGGATACTTGCAAAAAAACAAAGACCCTCCCCAGGCCCAGAGAAGTCTCCCAGATGCATATAATGAGGACCATTGTCTTTTTCACTGCATGGATTTTAGGCAGACTCCACACAGGTGATCTGTGTCCTGCTTCATCGAACAATAACCTGAGAAAATACTTTGGGAAATGATGTTGCTGCTTACTCTCTCCATCTGCCTGATCTTCTCTTTCTCAGTTTGCACGTAACCTTCCTTCACAAACTCCACAAGCCTCTTCACATTTGGCAGAGTCGTTTCTTCGCCAACAAAGGTCTCCATGAGCTGCACAAACTGTGGCGGGTTGAGGGACTCCTTGTCAAAGCTGCTTATGGTAGACGGGGGCCCACGGGCCTGGATTTCTATCATATTCATGCGCAGGTCTAGAAGCAAGGAGGGAAGGTTACATCCTGTGCAATACAGATTTGAAGCTGTGGGTGTTTTCAGGGTTCAACAAGTGAAAATAAGTAAGCAGAAGAACCCATGGTCACTCCAGAATGTTGTTTTTTCCAGGTGTAAGCAGCAGTATGCCATTGGCCCAATAATAATGTATTAGTGGTGGGTTTATACTGGACCATCTGCACATTAGTCTGCTTTATTAGATGTTCTGCGATGCATCCCCAGTGTTACAGCACCATCAAAATCTGGAGGGGCGCTCTCATGCCACAGTGTCAAAAAAGCAAGGCAAAAAAATCACCAGAACAGGATCTCAGCAAGAAGTTATGGGACATGCACTGATTGGGAATGAAGCAGTATGCCCACCCTGGAAATTCTGCAAGTTCAAACCGTATCGAAAGCAGGATCATGTATGACAGTCTGGATGTCATCGTGAGCACGGATAATCAGGAATGCTTTTGCTGCTCACAGCTCCCATTCTGAAATTCACCACTTTCCACTAGTTATGTGCATTTATGTACAACTTACTTGGCTGGAGAACAGCATTGCAAAATTTGGAGAAGTGTGAATTCTTAAGGTTGGCTGTGTTTCGGTTTGCGCATTGTTTCAGAAAGTGAAAGCATGGTAGGTTCACCCCCATCCCTACTCACAAGCAAAGCCCTTTTTGTCACAGAAATGGACTACAGGGGCATTCCTGTGAATGAACTCCTATGTAGCCTGAACCAGATTACTTTATGGTGCTCTAATAAAACATCACACCTGGAAACCTGGTGCTTTCGTTGTTCCAGTCCTCCCGGATTTCCTTGCCATAGTCGGTGTACACGAAGGACAGGTCAGCAGTTTGAAGGTCACCTGCAGGAAGGGGAGGCAACACAAAACAGGCTGCTAAAGAGGCCAAGCTCCGACAGCTACATGCAGACTATAGAAACAGGATGTTGAAGAACGCTGATGGGTGCAATCACCTGACCATATCTTTCCATATATCTTCTGAGGTGCCTTTTCACATGTCTCGCTGTCTAGCCCACTGGGCATTGAGAGCAAATCTGAAACTAAGAGAGGAAGAAAACAATGTTTGTGAATAGGCAAGGATGGAAGACCAAGATCAAGCCCCCAAAGCAGAAGCTAGCCAGGGCTGGTTGCATGATAAAGCTACTTGAGATTGCAGGAGAGTTCTGAATTGCGGCAGGTGTGGGTGTGGGTGTGTTTCAATGCTGGCACTATTGTGCATTGCTCTGGACAGATGTTAAGCTCATGCAAACTGTGGTTTACATTTGCACCTCACTGCCGTGATTTCTTTCTGAGCGAAGAAGATGCAGCCAGATCTGTAGCATCTTAATTACTTCTCTCTTTAGCATTTAAAATGAGCGTTTGGTTCAGCTTGTAGCAAACGTGTCTCTTTCTCCACCCCCCATTTGAAAGTATAAGCATCTCTGAGCTCCCAGCTCCAGCTTTCCTCATGTCCTGGGACTCTCCACACCTTTGCCCCCTACCCGGATCCAGTGCAGCCTGCCTTGTTTACCCTGAGGCTTGGTGAGCCCCATCAGGGTGGCGTAGCAAGCCTTCTGTGATGACGTGGCAGGACTGTTTAGGAGCAGCAGGGAAGGGCCATCATGGCCAGCAGTGTTAACACTCTAGAAAGGGTGGAGAAGCCCTCAGGTGAGCCCAGCAGCGGCTCTTCCTTGACTGAGTAGCATGAGCCATGATCACTGAACTGGAAATGTTAAAGGAAATGATCATAAAGTGATCCCTGCTATCAGAGACGGCAATCTGCCTCCTTCATGGTCCTGGTTTAATCATTATTCAATACTTGGCCCCTAGCTAGTGATTCCATGTTTCTTTTTCACTTATAATATTTTGGAGCAAACAGGAGCCTTAAAGATGGCGAGATCTGCCCTGGCGTGTGATGAAACGCTTCATTTTTATATATGCATTTGTTTTAAACATTTATATGGGGCAGGACACTCTGAACACACAGCACCAATTCCAGCATTACTGCACTGGCTACCAGTTAGTTTCCGGGCTTAAACTGAAGTGCTGGTTTTGAACTATAAAGCCTTATGGGGCTCAGGATCCCAAATAGCTCCAAAACCACCTCTCCCCACATGAACCAAGTCAGACCCTGCAATAATCAGCTGAGGCACTTTTCCGTGGTGGCTCCTGATTGTAGAACACTCTCCTCAGGGAGGCTCACGCAACACTATATTTACCTATTCTTAGGTGTCAGACAAAAACATTCCTTTTTACTTGGGCTTTTGGCCCTTGGGATCATGCAAATGTCTGCCTTTTCTAATAAGTGGTGATCTAGAATATGTAGCTTGGAGATCTAAATCAGAGAAGGATACTCTGCAGCTGCTCATTTGTGCACAGAACACACACCGTCTTGAATTGTTGTGACTCAAAGAGCATGGATATGTGCATGTTATTAGTATTTATTTATTTTTTAAAAAAGCTGTTTTCATTAACCACCTGTGGGCACTCTTGTTGAACAAAACATTCTGGTTGAACAAATCCAATTGATGAGCCACACCTTGAGTTAAGCATGCATAAACCAGCTCTGAGAACAGGCCAAAATGAAGCTCTGATCTGAGTTCTGGTTGTGGGGAGGTAAGGGACCAAGCAGTGTTTTGTTTCGTTAAGGACTCATCCACACTTCCTTTTGTGCCACATTGCTAGGCACAGGTCTGGGTCGCAGTGGAGTTTTTCGTTTGTGTGTGTCCTGGCACTTCCCCCCAGGAAAACCCACAAATCGCAGCAAATGGCAATCAGGTTTCCCCTGGATTGCCGTTTGCTCCAATTCAGTGGTAAAACACATGTTTTCACAGGGAAAGCTCTGGGACAAATATATATATATGCTCAGACGTGGACTTAGAAAGCCCAGACCTGTGACTAGAAAGCAGAGCAGAGGTCAGTGTGGATGAGCCCTAAGTGTCCCTCTTGCCTCCTCAGCCTGTTTCCATACAAATGCAAAAGCTTGTGAAAGGTGGTCATTATCAGAAACCGTCACCTCAAATGTCCTTGGCTTCTGAAGCCACCTCAGCTGATCCTAAAACAACCCAGAATGTATCCATTTATTAGCCAGCAGCAGGAGCACAACAAAGCCTTTGCCTGTGGGTGTGCAGTGCACAGATGTTTGAGCTCCATACGGTAGATATGGTATAAGCAGACTTCCCAGTATGGTCTTCTCTGATAAGGTTTGGCTTAGCATATTGTTTGACCCGGGCTCGTGGTTAAGTTCTCCCATCCCTGCTAAACACAAGCAGTCTGACCTGCTATGAAGCGCGTTCCTGGGTTGGACTGAAGGAGACTGCCTCTCATTTCTGATGCCCTCACGCTCTGCAGCCCTTGGTTTAATTGCTACTGAAGTGCAAGGTGTCCATCAACCCATGGGAGACCAGCACATAAACCCAACACTGCTTCACAGCAGAACACACTGTACCTGAAAGCTTCTGTCCTGGCCGTTTGCTTGGACCTGGCACACCTTCGCTGTTCCTGTGCAGCTGCCCCCGACTGCCTGGCTCCTTTCCTGGCTCCTCCTGAGCTGCCGCTGTTTCTGCCCTGCTTTGCTCTGCAGCAGCCCCTTGACCCTCTAAGCCAGGCTCTTGGCCAGGGCCCAGTTCTCCGTTCTGTGTCTGCTGTAGCCCAGATTGCATGTTAAAGAGGGAAGCAGGGGCAGAACTTCTGGGCTGTGGATTCCTGTCAGCCTCCAGGGTTTCCACAGGTAGCGCTGGTGCTGATACCCGGGTGGTTACAGGCACCACGTCTTTGCCAGCAGGTGCAACAGTTTCTTGGGCAGCTGACTCTGCAGAGGCCGCTGGATCTTGTTCCTCCTGAACTGCTGCTTCGCCAGATCCTGGCTCTACAGCTGGCATTTCTGCCTGATCCTGGAGGGCTGTTGCTAGAACGACTTCACCTTCCTCTCCTGGGTGGCTGGCCTCTTGCTCCAGCCCGGCTTTCTCTTGGTCAGCAGCTGCAGACCCCTCAGGGGCCTCACTGTCTTCAGGTGCAGTCATCTCCATGTCAGACAGGATGTCTTTCAAGAGCAGCTTGAGGGCGATGGATTCCTCAGATAATCCAAGTTCACCCGATGGGATGTTGAGGCTAGACTTCTCTGAAATTTGCTCATCTTCCATATTCCCCCAAAACTCAGCTACCTCTATATCGTCCAGTTCTATAATTGGCCCTAGGATAAGAAAGGGTGGTGCTGTTGATATACCCTGAAACTGGAAGCATGGTACGGGAATGGAGGAATAATAATAATAATAATAATAATAATAATAATAATAATTGCTAGTTACCAAGGTCTCCAAGCAACTTTCACTTATAAACATAAACATAAAAAGGTAAAGGGTAAAGGGACCCCTGACCATTAGGTCCAGTCGTGGCCGACTCTGGGGTTGCAGCACTCATCTTGCTTTATTGGCCGAGGGAGCCGGCGTACAGCTTCCAGGTCATGTGGCCAGCAGGACTAAGCCGCTTCTGGTGAACCAGAGCAGCGCACAGAAATGCTGTTTACCTTCCCGCCGGAGCGGTATCTATTTATCTACTTGCACTTTGATGTGCTTTCGAACTGCTAGGTTGGCAGGAGCAGGGACCGAGCAACGGGAGCTCACCCCGTCGTGGGGATTCAAACCACCGACCTTCTGATCGGCAAGTCCTAGGCTCTGTGGTTTAAACATACTAGACCATTAAAATTTGTGTGAAACAGAGATATGATGAACCAACCCAGACCCTGCAATTGTCATGTGAGGTCCTTCTTTGTGTGCCCCCTCCATGAGAGGTCTGGGGGGTGAAAATATAAGAACAGGCCTTTTCTGTGGTAGCTCCCTGTTTGTGGAATGCTTTCCCAAAGGAGGATTGCCTGGTGCCATCATTTTATATCTTCAGACACCAGGCAAAAACTTTCCTCTATAACCAAGTCTTTGCCCTTTAATTAACAGCAGCCTTACATTTCTTGGGGTCAAGGAATCCCTTCTTGTGCTGTGGGGAGCAGTTGTAGAAGAAGACCTCCAGTAAAGATAATATCCTCTGTCTGTCCAAGAGCCCCACCTAGGAAAGAGGAGCACAGACATACCTTTAAGCCTTGCCAGTTCCCACTGAGTTCTAGGTGGTTCATGTACAGTACTACAAAAACCACACTGGATGGCCTGTGAAATCAGAGTTGTTCCCAAATGGGGGGAAATCCTCCATTTTACACAGAGGGTGGTGGAAAAGTAGATCACTGAAGTTGGAACGCAAGCTCTGAACTACACAGGTGTTCAAGGGCAGGTAAGAATCTTATGGAAACAGAACACCCAACTTAAAACATTTGAAATATATATTTGAAACCTTATTTTAAATGCTACTGCAGCTGCTGCTGCTGCTAAAATAATTCACACATCTCAAGTCACTAAATGTTTGCTCAAATCAAAGGGGCTTACAGCATCTCCAGAAAATGCTAAGCAAGATGAAATCTACAAATAAAGGCTAAACTAGACCTGATGTTCAGAGTGTTACTTCACACCAGTTTAAAAACAACAACACAAACACCGTTCAGTGGAAGATGCAGAAGGGTGCAATTTTTGTCAGGACCATGGCAGGGGAGAAAAAGGTTAAATTAAAATATACCTCCCCTCACTGCATACAGCAGCCCTCACATAAACTGGACTCCCCCAGGCTTGCTAGTAGTTTACAGTTCTTTGTGTTGCTGTGACCTGAAGTGGTATTTTTAGCATCAGCCTACGATGGTGGTATCAGTAAGAATTCACCCAAGAACCATCAAATTGAGCATCTGGTTTTCTAATGAGCTCACAAACAAGTCCTGGAGGGGCTGGCTTTCTCTTTCCCCCCACATCTAGTACCTTGAGATAGACTGAGCATGGAGGTTTATTCACTTATGATATTTATGCTCCACCTTTCTTCTGATGAGCTCATGGTGGCATATGCAGTTCTCCCCCTCTGCACATTATCCTCACAGCAACCCTGTGAGCTAGGTTAGGCTGAGAGAGATGGTGACTGGCCCACAGGTCACTCAGACACTTTGGTCCTAGTCCACTTAGGACCTTAGTCATGGCTGATAACAGTTGATAGCCAATGCACTCTGAATCTGAGCCACTTTTTGCTCTCCAAGGCTCTGCTTCCACGCTCTGTGGCTCAGGCTCTGAATACGCTCTGGGCATGTAGTTCTTATCTTAAACAGATTCCATGCACCCCCTGGAAAGCAGCCTGTCTCTTATCTCAGAGGGACGGGAAAATAATCAGCAGGCCTCACTGCCTTGTGGCAAGGAGCAGCACAAGGGAGTTCTTCTCTCCCAGGGAGAGGGCAAAGAGATGACAAAGGCAGGAAAACTCTAGAGGAAACAGGGGCTGAAAATGGAGGGGAAACACATGGTTAAAGGAAAGGAAAGCAGCCCCAAAGGAACGTGGCTTTTCGACTTTATAATGAGCTAATGCGTATTGCTATTTCACGGTTCCAGTTCTGCCGTCTCTTTCCCATTATAGCACAGCATGGTGGTTCACCAGGTGCAAATCTGAAAAACCAAAAATGAAACAGATTCTTTCTTTCTTTCTCTTTCTCCCCACACTTTTCTCTGAGGAGCTCAAGGTGGCATACATGGCTCTCCTCCTCATTTAATCCCCACAACAACCCTCTGAGGTAGGTGAGGCTGAGAGGCCATGACTGGCCTAAGGTCACCCTGTGAGCTTCATGGCTGAGTGGGGAGATTTGAACTCTAGTCTCCCAGGTCCTAGTCCGACACTCTAACCACAACACCACGCTGGCTCTTTTTGGCAAACAACTGCAAGTTAAAATCTGTGAGCTGGATGGCTGTGAGGCTAGCAGCTGCCGAGTAATTTGGTTTTGTGTCGCTTTCCCCCTGTACTGACAAAGGGGAACAAATGGTTGGAGTTGGCCGTTGAGAGCTGGCAATGGGCCCAAGATGGCTGGATGGTAGCCAAGTTCCTTACGAATGGCAAGTAGAAGTGGCAGTAGCACCTGGGGAAGGGGCTGGACTGATGAGAGGCAGCTGTCTTCCTTGCTTTAGTCCAGCCTTTGCCAACCTGGTGCCCTCCAAACGCTTTGGACTACAACTCCCATCAGACCCAGCCAGCTGCCTGCTACGGGGCCTGGGGCTCTTGCATTGAGGACAGGGCATGTAGGGTGTCAGAAGGAGGGATGGGGAGTAGAAATTTCTTCAGACTTCCTGAACTGCTTCACAAACTGGAATGCAAGCATCCTTTGAAATCCAGCCTTCTCTGAATGCAACAATGCAGTTCTCCAGCCAAACAATGCATATTCCCCACCAAAGGAAAAACGTTCACGTGAAAAACGTTAGAGTGAGAACAATGTACAGAATGCGTAGCAAAAGGCAAAAATGCACCTGTTGGGTGAAATGCAAATAAATTTTAATGCAGACTTAAAACAGAAAAACCAAACTGATGTGGAAATGGGGAGAACTCAATTTAAGACAGGAAGAATGAGAAACCAAGAGAGTTTCTGTTCGTTTCATCCATCCCTAGAGAAAAGCTTGATTGGCAGATTGTGATCCTGGCAAATGGGTCAGTGGGATTCAAGGCAATTGACTTGCTTGCCAGAGGCTCAAAGGTTTGAACTGGGAAGCTGAGGCCAGAGGCGGATTTAGAGGAGTGTGACTGGTTCAGTTGCACTGGGAGGAGATCCTTGAGGATGCTGCAGTAGGCGCCACAACTATGATGTAGAATGGAAAGTGAGAGGTGGAAGGGTGGAAACTTTTGGCGTTGTACAGAGTGCCTCTAAAATTTGAGACCCCCTCAGGTCCGCCACTGCTGGGATCTAGCCTAGGAAGCTGGCTAGGACTGTGTGCATATCCTCAGGCCTCGGAGTTCTTTTTTAGGTACAACATGGAATAAGGAGTGTGTGCAGCATTGCCTTCTGTGATTGGCAGGCAGTATGGAGCCTTGGATTGGCCAGCCCTGGAATAAAAGACTAAGAACCTGGTCTGTGCCTAGTCCACAGAGCAGCACCTTCTGCACTCAAAACCTAGACTCCAATAAATTAACTTTGGAGAATATAGGAAGCTGCCTTATACCGAGTCAGACCTTTGGTCTGTGCAGCTCAGGACTGTCCACGGTGACTAGACGAAGCTCCCACCAAGTCCTACCTGGGACCTTTGACATGCAAGGGAGATGCTCGACCTTCTCAGCTATGGCCCAGCCCCACCTCCTAGGTCTAGGTTTTGTATAGCCACCTATGGTCCTAAACCAGTCTGGACCAGTCATTTAATGCTGGTTCCCCAGTGTCATCCCAAAACAATCCAGGTTTAGAGCCTCAGGAACAGGGATGCATATAGACCGAAATCAAGAGTGTGGTGGAGGACCCCACTCGGTGCTGGGAAAGGGAGGCTTGCCCCCAAGCCAGTGAAAATTAGGAAATGGGAACAACATGCGTGCTCAGCTGGGCGAGAGAATGGAGGAACAGATAATTCAGCAACCGCAGAGGTCTTTTCTATGGATTTCCTTTGCGTTTTCTGCTTTCCCTTGAGGTCTGGGTACAGCAGGAACTGATTACAGCACCGGGAAGGAAACCAGGTCAAAGCCTAAGGAAATGCATTAAATTTACACTCTGTTTTTGGAAATGATCCAAGCCCACTTGTCTGCTTGCGATGCTCTCAAATATCTGCTAGCATTGTGGGTGCTTGTTGGGAGGGCTGGGAAAATGTTTCGCATCCCCGCTATTACCCCCCTTCCCACCAGAAGCCAACCACAAAGGTTTTGGAGCCAGGCTTGCAGAAAGTGGAGGGGGTCACTTCAATTTCCTGACAGCCCTTGCCACCAGACGCCTGAGTTTATGCCTGTCCTGAACTTCCATGTTTCCCTGAGAGGCCTGTCACTATGGTGGCCTTGGGACCAGTTGACCCACCATCACCATCCTGTCAGTTGCTTGCCTTTTAAGTTGAGCAAGAGAGAGACTATGAGCCACCCATGTGTTGTGGACTGCCAACCGAGCCCCTGCTAGTCACAATGAATGCTGGGTAAGGTGGGCCTTGCAGGACAGCACAGGTAAAGGCACAGTCTGGCGGGCCTGATTAGGCCCCATGGGCCGCAAGATCCCCACCACTGATCTATTCCAATAGACCAGAAACTGTTACTATTCAGTGCTGCGCTTGGGAAGTCCTAACTAGGAATAACGATGGCAGAGATATAATCCTGCACACATCCTGCAGTCTCTCCACTGGGGTCTGGGGAGAAACTCAACTCAAATTCACACTGTGCTGAGATCTATGGATGAAGGGCGGTATACAAATTTAATAAATAATAATAAAAACAACAATATGAGAAGTGAAACTCCACCAGCCTTCAAAATCTGCATGTATCCAAATTTTGCAATGCACTTCTCCGGTGCATACCAAAAAATGCATCTATTAGAGAAATGTTGTATTAATATTAATATATGAGTGAAAATAACATACACAAATGCATTGTATTAGGGGAAATTGCTTTGCAAAATGCGCATCATTCAAAACTGCATTTCTGCATTTAGGGTTAGGGTCTGCATTTCTGTCTCTCGTCTGTCTTGAGAGAGAATGGAGTGCGCTGCCAGGGGTGAAGTGAAACTTCTGTGTTAGCAGCACCAAAGTGACCTCCCAGGGCACAAGCCTGGGCACTTTGTGTGGAGGTCCTGGGCTGCCCAGACGAGAATCAGTAGAGCTACCTTTCCATGGTCGCAGTTGAAGAACAGTTGGAGAAACATCTGCCGCCAGATGTCGTGTCTGATTATGTTACGTGCATCGTTGGCACACTGTAGGAGGTGTTGCAGCAATTGCTGGAACATGTCGCTGCTGAAATCCTTGATGTAAGAATGGAGATACTGGAGAGGCGAGGGGGGAAAGAAGGGGAGAAAACACACAGTTTATTCCCTTTTGCCATCACTCAGCATCACTCATTGTCTTGTTCATATGAACCTTAACGATGAGGTCATTCGCCCCTTAATGATGAATCTGGATCATCCTTCCTCCTATTTGTATCCTATCGTTCCTCCAAGGAACTCAGCGTGATCTATATAGCTGAAAGCACTCTCTGTTTTATCCTCACAACCACCCTGTGAGGTAGACTGGGCTCAGAGAGAACAGCTGTTCCTAAAGCTTCACCCGGAAAGGCATAGACGTCCAAACAGAGCCAGGTGGAGCGCTCCAGGGGTAAAAACTTCTCCCCACAGCTCTCGTTTGAAAATGTAGAAACTAAACAGTGGAGAAGGCAGAGTCCCTGCAGAAGCAGCTAAGCAATGATGCTACATAAATACACCTCATCACTAAAACATCAGAGCAAGAGATGGATCTGCAATTTAGGAGAAGTGACAAGCAAGCACAGGGAATGATTTCCACGCAGCTGCCACCTATTTTTTTGCCTTCGGAAGCATTTTTGCTTCCTTGGAATTGAGGCCACAACTTGCACCAAGCCCAAAACAGATCTTTTTTCCCTCCTGCTTAAGAGCAGCTTGAGTAGCAAATTGAAGCTGGCCATTGCAGAGCCGTTCATCCACCCCAAGAGTTGGATTGGGCCCTTGTGCTTAACGTTCCCTGCTATATTTCCTCTTTGTGTTAAGTTACTTATCAGATTTTTATGTGACTTGCGACTTACAATCATAACAAAAATACATTTATTAATTGCATTTCTGTCCCACCTTTTCCTCCAAGGAGCTGAAGGTGGCATAAAGGGTTCTCCTCTTCCTCATTTAACCACCATAGCAACCCTGCAAGGCCTGAGAGGTAGTGACAGGCCTTGTGATGGATTCAAGCTGTGGTCTCCCAGTTCCTCTCTAACCACTACAACACACAGATTCTCTTAACGTGATCATTACAATCATACAACTCACTTGTTCTCTAAAGATGTGAAAGCCAAAAGTAGCATAACCTTCCCCTCCCTTCATATTCTGCATTTCTGTGCCACATAGAACATAGGAGGGGTTCTCCTTCGCTGCAGCCAGCACTGAAATGGGGAACATCAGCCTCACAGCAGGCCAGAGAAATGAAATACTGTAAAACAAATTTATAGATGATCCCCGAGGTAGCATTCTGCACAACCCTCTTCCAAAAAGAAATCTGGCAGCAAGTGGTTCCAGAGTTGATTGGAATCATCATTATTATTACTTTTACCAAGAAAGAAGATCAACAAGAAGAGAAAAGGGAAGGAAGGAAAAGAAGAGGAAAGGATGAGATTCTGGAGACCACCTTCATTTGCCTCAATCCTCCTGACTTTGGGAAGACTATTGAGCCATGATTTATTTGAAGCTGAGGTCTCAGAGACACTTTTAACACTTCAGATTTATTGCCCCGTGAGATTTTAATGGGTAAAAAAATAAGAAGGCCGTTCAAGAAATGTGGTCTGCACAGTGTAAATAATAAAGGCTGTCGGCAGGAACCGCAATCTCCCGTCTTTGGGCTGAATTATGATGGCATTTTTATTTGTGTTTTAAAGCCTGCTGCTGTTGTGGCTGGATGGGGCGGTGTGTGCATGACATGTAGGGAAGAAGGCTTGGGTAACTAAGTTCTCCTTAGACTCACGGATGTAATCATGTACATTCATTTCAATGGGCCTACTCTGAGTGCGACTGGCACTGGATGCCACGCAGCATCACAAACTATGACCTTGTTGTTTCTTTCATCTAGGTTGATTCCAGATTCATCTTGGGCACTTTCATGGTTTTTGCCTGAATTGTTAGCGGCATTGTGCAGTCTTGGGGTAATCCTGAGATGTTGTGATGGGCCAGTTGAAAAGTTCGTTCCAGGTTTTTGTTCTGAACTGAATTGTTAGTTGTCCGTGTGGAATCAGCCTTGATCAATCTATCTCCAACGCCTCCTTTGTTCTCTGGAAAAGTCATCTGAGTGTGTCTGGAGTGTGGCCTTCGGTCTTTACCTCATTCCAGCTCAGGGGCTGAATGCCGCCCACTGTACCTCCTTTCCTGGCCTTTGGGACTTCCCCCAGGCCACGCCTCCTTCAGGGGGCCACACCCCTTTCTTCAGGCCACCCCCACCCCACCCCTCCTTGGCACCTTCTTCAAGCACCTTGTGATGAGGCATCTTGCTTGCTTGCCTGAACAAACGAGGAGAGGTGTGTGTGCATAAACCTCTGTATTTGTGTGTGGCTGGAATGTAGCCTACAGTAAAAAGCTGAGTGTCGCTTCTGTGTTGCCCATCCGCTTTTGGCTTCTGGCATGTGGCCCCCAGGAGATTGCCTATAAGGCAATGTGGCCCTCAGGCTGAAAAAGGTTCCCCACCAAGGCTCTAGCCTACTGTTGAACAGGAAGGAATCCAGAATTCAAATGTGAACTGCAGAGACTGACACCTGATGGATTGTGGTGACAGAAAGGGGGTTCTTTGCATGCCTGTTGTTGCTGATCCTTCTCCAAATTAGCTGCAGTCACCCTGAGGTTAAATATCTCATTGTGAGCTTAAAACAAGATTTAACAAATTACCTTTTTTAAAGAAATGTTTCTCTGCTGAATGCTTAAAAGGATGGCTTTCAAAAGCAGGGAGGTGAGTAATGACATGTTGCCACTTGCTCTGAGTCTCCCTCCCTCCAGCTGCCTTATGCGCCGTCCTCAGCTTTAGTAAGGAAGCATGCCAACTGGCACTGCTAAGGCTGCTCATGGTTCTAGTCCACAGTCTTGCACTCATAGTTCTTTCAGTGTGACTCCACAATACGATTCATTTCTGATCAAACACTGAGAACTTGGCAAGCAAACACACACACACACACACACACACACACACACACACACACACACACAGAGTGGCGTAGCGTGGGTTGTCAGCACCCGGGGCAAGGCAAGTAATTTGCGCCCCCTAACCTGTGGATTTGCGCTCCCTAACCCGTGGATTTGCGCCCCCTAACCTGTGGATTTGCCCTAACCCGAGATGTTGCGCCCGGTGCGGCCGGCCCCCCCTGCACCCCCCACGCTACGCCACTGCACACACACACACACAGAGAGAGAGAGAGAGAGAGAGGGTGTTTTTATAGCTATATCTATATCTCCAGACTGATTGCCATCAAGAGGCCTGCAGAGCCCTCAGGGATATACCATGCCTCCTGCATGAATCGGCTAATAGAATTTCAAGAGCAATAACAGATGCGCTAGGAACAATGCTAATTGTGTGATAATGAGGGTGCCCATAGAAGACGGTTCTCCGAGTGCCACTAGTGGAAAATCTGAATTCATCAGAACTCTCACTACATTGCTAGACTTTGTCTCTCAACGTTTCCCCTGCTGATTCGCCCTGGAAGGAAGCATTTGCTTTGGAATCATTGTCTCTTCCTGGTGGCTGTTGCAGAGCATGGAGGAGGAGGCAGGATGGGGAGGGCTGGGAGTCTGCTGGGGGTGGAAAGGAAATCCCTGGAATGTATAACTGATTGCTGTGTGTGTGTTGGTGGAGGTGAACTCAGGCCCATGAATGGGGCAACATTCAATATCTGACAGGTGGAGAGCTGCATGCCAAACTGTGTACCTTTGTGTGGCTGAGCTTCCATATATATTGCTGTGAGCCTGTGGAGGGCTTAGGCTGTATGATGCCTATACCTAATTCCTGGATCCAGCAAGGGTTAAAATCTAATGAAGGATCCCATCGTTGAATTGTCAGGCAAGGGCCATAATGGCCATTAAAGGTAAAGGGACCCCTGACCATTAGGTCCAGTTGTGACTGACTCTGGGGTTGCGGCGCTCCTCTCCTTTACTGGCCGAGGGAGCCGGCGTACAGCTTCCGGGTCATGTGGCCAGCATGACTGAGCCGCTTCTGGCGAACCAGAGCAGCGCACGGAAACGCCGTTTACCTTCCTGCCGGAGCGGTACCTATTTATCTACTTGCACTTTGAGGTGCTTTTGAATTGCTAGGTTGGCAGGAGCAGGGACCGAGCAATGGGAGCTCACCCCGTTGCGGGGATTCGAACCGGCGAACTTCTGATCGGCAAGTCCTAGGCTCTGTGGTTTAACCCACAGCGCCACCCGCGTCCTGTAATGGCCCCTAAGTATGGGTCATACTCATTAGTATAAGAAAAGAAGTTGCCCTTCAAGGAATGGCAAAGAGATATTTCAAAATTTATCTAGCAGGGGAAGAAGCCAATAATAAAACATAAATTACTAACAGATTTTAAAGATAGAGGCGGCTTTTCCCTACCAGATTTAAGTATATATTATGAGGTGTCTTGTCTTTGCTGGCTTCGGGAATGGATAACACTACAAAATACAGATATTTTAGACTTGGAGGGTTATGATAATAGATTTGGTTGGCATGTGTATTTATGGTATGAAAAAGTTAAGGTACACAGAGGATTCTTGAACCATTTAATAAGAAAATATGTGGTATGGAAGAAATATAAAAAATTGTTAAGATGGCGGTGGCAGTTATCTGATTTTGGGACATGGGGAAATCTAAAAACACAAGAGGTTGAATTTCTAGGGTCACCCTTGCAGGATGAGTGGCTTCTTAGCAGCACAGTTATATTCTAAGGGAAGAATATCAGGCTCCCTGCCTTGGATTTGCTTCATAACACTAAGGTGGTGTTGGGCTGCCTGGTTGTCCTTTGCAGGGAAAATTGGCAGCAGGGAGAGTGCATCCTTCTTCTAGCCACCACCTATGTTACCCTATGTTACCCTTGAAACTCAAGGTGTGTGTGTGTGTGTGTGTGTGTGTGTGTGTGTATATATATATAGGTTTCCCGATCTGTCTCCCACCCAGGCCCCAGCTCAAAAGAATATCTACTTTAACCCACTTCATATCTCCACCTGATTATCCATGGAGGGAGAAGCAGGAGGAGGGAAAAGCCCTGCTCAGGGACGTTGCTTCTCCTCACCTCTGTGAACTGCTCTTCGTTCAACTTCGGTGCCAGGGACCCCACAGATTCCAGAGGCCTGGCGTAGATTCCTGTGGAGGTGAAGCAGATGTGAGAGCAGGTGTTAAGCAGTGGAAGAACTGGGCAGCATCCTGCGCCTCTCTGGCAAAGGGAGCTCTTCCTGCTGTGGGTTCAATCTGCATCTTTTAACCCTAGTGCAGTTCATTGTGGGTCTAGGGCCCACAGCTCATTTGCACGGGCTGGGTTTCTTTCCATGGAAACCAACGTATTATAAAATTACACCAGCACAGGGGCTTTCGATACCCTATATTTGATTTGAACCACAGGGATGGGGAACATGGGGCGGAGTGGGAGCTCTGCGAAAGGAAGCCCCGCTGCCTGGAACTGTGGGAGGCTCCTCCCCCCAGAGTCATTTGCATAGCCCTGCCTCTGAAACAAATAGGCCCCGCCCCTGGATGAAGATGAATTATAGCAGGCAAGTGGAACTTACTTCTGCCCAAAGGGCATATTTCCTCATGGGCAGCCTTCTAGGGGCCGCAGAGTGGGCAAGCCAGAGTCAAAAGGGGACAGAGCAACAGCTGGGACTCTATAGTGGGCCACACAAAAGTTAGACGTTTCTGCACACACATACACAAACACCCCTCTCTCCAACATCAGAGAGTGCATTCTGGCCAGGCAAAAGCCCTTAAGGAGGCTAGTGAAAGGCGGGGCCTGGAGACAGTCCCAAGGGCCACATCGAGAGGCCTGGAGGGCCACATTCCGCTTCCAGGCCAGAGGTTCCCCATCAAGGGATCACTGCATCAACGGCCCTGTTGGTGGGTGACTTTCTCCACTACGTGACATTGACCTTGGCTTGGCTTGCCCAGCACACGTGCCAGAAAAAGGGGCTTCCATTGGCCGACTATCCTTCATCCAAAGATCACAGGCCAGTTTACAATTTATAAAACCACAAAATATTGAAGTGGCATTTTTTTTCTGTTTAGAAAACAGGTGGCAGCTGGGGGAAATTGGCATAACCCTGCCCTGATGGATTTGCGTTCTTTCAGTAAGAAAACAGGCTTGGTCTAATATGTAACCTGGTCTACCACTGCAAGCAGTCTTGGAAGGAAAAAACAACAACACATTGCACAGCTTGCTTTCCAAAGAGCAGCACCAGGTTATGTTCTGTGCCACCCCAGCAACAACTGCAGCCCCGTATTTGGAAAACAAAGTTTACTATATACATTCAGGTTGCAATTCTGACTTTGGAATAACCCCTATTTATCCCAGAGACTTCCAAGTAAATATTCACAGTGCTGGGTTGTCTATAAGGATGGATGTATCTGTCATTTTCAGTTTCTTTCAGCTTCTTGTTTTTTCAATCTTAAATTCAGTTCTCCACATTTTTGCATCAGTTTGTGATTTTTTTTTAAGTCCTCACGAAAACTAGTCAGCATCTTAGAGCAGTTTCTTCTGATAAAATGCATTTTTATATGTTATTTTCACTAACACATTGGTTTTTTAAGCACACCCTCCCCCCAATACACATTATTCGATTGGAGAACTGCATCACAAAACTCATTGCAATGCGAATTTCAAAGGATAGCTCTCTTGCTGTTTGAGTATTGCGCTGGAATGCACAAATTAGGTAGGCCTGTATCAAAATCTGATCCAAACAAATCTCTCCTCCATCCCTAGTTGCCAGATCTTCAAGCCGCGTTTTAGGGTGGGCAGAAGATAGGGGTGAAGGACGGGGCAAGTCTAGAGAGCATTTCTCTGGGATGTCAGGAGAGAGAGAGAGAGAGAAATGTTATGTTACCACCAGGGGGACTTCCACCACAGGGTCAGAGAAGACTAACCAGAGAACACCCAGTGGACTTCATTTACTGCTGGCTCCTGAAGACATTCACGGGCAGTAAATTATTTTCATGACCCCATAAAGAACAGCTTTATGCTCGCTCAGTGCGTTGGGCTCTGCTAAATGGGTGGCTCCAGGAAGCAAAGAGCAGCTGGTTACCTGAAGAACAAGCATCTCACTAAAGGGCAGGCGACATATGACCCACAGGCTACATGCCTCGCAAGTCCATTTTTACAAATCAGACTCGGGCAGACTGGCAGTGGCCCTGGTCTCCCCTCTCTCCTGCCCACTTTCAGCCTTCTCCTAAAAAGACATGGCTGGTCCTACTAAGTGAGCAACAGATACGACTCTTAGTTCGTGGTTCTGCCAGGGACTGGCTGGACCCTGAGCAGTGGTGGCTGGATACTGATGAGAGGGCAGCGGGAGAAGAGGGGTGGGAGACTGACTTGGCAGAAGGGATCAGTGATCTGGGTGAGCCTGTAACAGCTGGGAAATGAGAGTCAGAGGCAGGAGAAGGTGAAGGATTGGAGAGTGAGGAACAGGTGCAGGAGGAAGGAGAGATGGGTCAGGCTGGTGGAGAGTCAAGGGCTTCTACACCTCCTCCTCCTCCTGCCCACACCTCTGCTGCTTCACTGTCTCCCAGGACCAGAAGAGGACTGAAGAGGGAGGAGCAGAAGCAGGTTACACACAGGCATAGTCTTCACCTGCTTGCGCGAAGCACAGGTGGGGAAGATGCATAAGCCAAAAAAACAACAAACAAACAAACAAAAACAGAGGGAAGGTGGGTGTGGCATTACCTGTCCCATCGTCACTGAGTTCTGAAGAGACAGACTCCATGAATGACTTCAAGGCGCTTTGGATCTGCAAGTGAAAGAACCCATTTCAAGGGCTGGTCAAAAAGAGGCCTCCTGTTGGCCCAATCCAGGCTCTGTTGGGCTGGGAGGAGCACCCCTCAGCCTTATGAGTCATTCAGAGCCGGAAGCATAGAATTGTCAAGTTGGAAGGGATCGTGAGGGCCATCTAGTCCAGCCCCCTGCAATGCAGGAATCTTTTGCCCAGTGTGGGGCTCGAACTCACGACCCCAGAGATTAAGAGTCTACCAGCTGAGCTATTTGAATTGTCAGAAGTTGGATCACGCACTGGCCTGGAGGTGACTTCTTGACTATGGGCTATGAGTTGGGGGTGCCAGGCCTGGGGGTAAATGGGAACTGGGGTAGGTGCAGTTTTGGTTCCGTCTGATTCCTTACTTACAAATGTGTGGTCTGCCTAGGGATGACCCTGCCTTGCGAAAACCCGATCTTATCCACTGAATCAGATCTTACCTGATGCATGGAAAATCCGGAGAGATTTTGCTTAATCAAGCTTCAGTGGGCAAGATAGGATTTTTGCAGGGCACAGGTGCGAAACAAGAAGAAAAGCTCTCAGGCCCAGGGGAATTAATTGGGATACAATACGATCAAATTACACGCCAAGCAGAAGTATGGGTGAGCCCTAAGTAGTACTTTTCCTATTGCGTGTCCTTCAGAACTGGAAATTTAGCCCTTCTTTAAAAAATAGTTGTTGACCAAGGACTCAGCGAGACCATACAAAAAAGTAGGCATGGAACAGAGGGAGAGGGGTTGAGCCTCAGCTGCCATCTTCAGACCAGGTCTGTTCACTGCCAGCAATATGGCAGAAGGAGAGTGGCCTTCAAACCAACCGGTCGCCCTGACTTTCTTTTTTTGGTGGGCGGGGGGGGGGGGTCAACATTACCAGCAGAACAGGGATCTGTCCTGTGAGATCCATCGTCCACTCTTTGAACTGCATGGACAGAGCCTCCTTCCGCATGTTTCTCACGTGAGTCTTGATCTTTTCCACCTGCTCCCTTTGCTTGCGTTTTTCTTTGACCAGAGTCTTCATCTGTTCCAGCCTGCAGGGCACAGGGGTAACGGGACTTGAACCAGGGTGCCTTACTTCCAACCACCCCAGAAATTTATTACAGCTGAGCAGCACTTTCCTCCCAGTCCCCTGAATTAAATTAATGCTTTGTGACTGCACAACTCAGGAGTGGAGTCCCTAAGGCAGTTGGATGGCACAGCGGCGTAGCGTGGGATGTCAGCACCCGGGGCAAGGCAAGTAATTTGTGCCCCCTAACCCGTGGATTTGCGCCCCCTAACCTGTGGATTTACGCCCCCTAACCCGTGGATTTGCCCTAACCCCAGATGTTGCGCCCGGTGCGGCCGGCACCCCCTGCACCCCCCACGCTACGCCACTGGGATGGCACCCTGTATGCCTCCTTCCAGCAACTCCTGCAGCCAAGCTGGTGCCAAACGTCTCGCTCTCCTTTCCTTTGGACCACATCTTGTTCTCTGGGCAGCACAGGACCTCCATACACACTTGTGCCCTGGGGAGGTCACTTTGGTGCTGCTAACACAGCAAAAACAACACAGGAGGCAACAGTTACGAGTTACTAGTCTGCAGCCACAACAGGCGCTGTGATTCTCCAGCGGTTCACCCCCAAAGGCATACTCCATTGTCTCTTGAGACAGACAGATGCCAACAGCTAATTGTGGGGGTGGGGATGCAGGATACTGGACTAATTGAATCATTCAGCTGATCACTTCCCTCTAATGGTGATCACAGCTGGTGAGTGCCAACAGAACTAGGGACAAAACAGGTCACTAAGAAAGAAGAGGGAGTTATCAGCATGCTTGGGTGGGATTCCTGAAGTATGCCCCATACTCGAGCCAGCCCCAAGCAAAGACTGAGTAGGGGGCGTGGAATGTTGCCGGTCAGCTGGAAAACAAAAAGGGGGAGGGGAGGAAAATTGGGGGTGGTAGAATGGCCTGCCAAAGCCCCTTTTAAAGGGATTGCAGAGGAGGAGGTGCACTCCTTAAGGCAATGGGGATATACTGCAACATTTTGTTGCAGGACACACTTGCATTCCCATGCTCTTAAGAAGTCGGCTCTTGGAGTGTGTAGAGATAAAAACAACCCACCCTCTGTGTCTCTGCCCAAGTCCCCATACTGAACATGTCTCCTCAGCCTTTGCCTCCACGTCATGACGTGCTGGTGGAAGTCAGAGTGGCTGTGCTGACAAACACCTCGGAGGGTTGCAAGTCGCACTCTTCCTACCCGCCTCCCTTCACCCGCTTCGACCGTTCCTCATCCGCAGTGGCTGACCAGGCTTTGTGAAAGGGAGGTTGCAGGCTGGAGACACTCACTTGTGCAACGTGGTCTCGGGCACTTTGGTTTTCAGCTCGTCTGCAACGGCTTTCAATCCACGCACGTAGGGATTGGGCATGGCGGAAATCTCATAGGCCGGGTTGTGCCTCATCAGGTACTCTCCCAGGAAAGTAATGGGGTCAAAGGTAAGGGGTTCAGACTCCTTCCTTTCCAGGGCTTTCTTCTTCTCCGCAGCCATGAGCAGCTTCTCCACGCCAGGGACCAAGGTGGGGAGGAGCTTATCAACCAGGTAGGCCCGAGTCTCCAGGGTCATGCTCTCGTCGTTGAACCAGTCGCGAGACAGCTTGTCCGGAGGCTCTTTCTTCTCGGCCTTTTTTTGCACCATCTTGCTGTTGCGGAGCTTCTCCACCCTCGTCTGCTGCAGATCCAAAGCCCTCGGCTGCAGGGTCTCGTAGAAAATGGACTTCCACTGAGCATCTGTCCGCGGAGTCAGGGGCCGAACCGCCCCTCTTGGGCTGCTTGTTGCTTCTTCCAAATGTGTCTCGCTGACGGGGCTTCTCTCAGAACCCGCCTCGCTCTTCTCTGGTTCTATATCCATGTTTCACTCTGCACATCAGAAAAAGAAGGAACGTAGAGGGAGTCAGAGCATTGGGTCCATCTAGCTTAGTACTGTCTACCCTGACCAGCAACAGCTCTTCAGGTTTCAGCCAGGGGTCCGTACCAGCCCTGCCTGGAGGCACTGAGAGCCTTTTGCATGCAAAGCAGGGGCTGTAACCCTGAGCTATGGCTCTCCCCCCCCCAAAAAAAAAAATATTGGGGCAGCCCTTTCAGAATGTCTCCAGTGTATCACAACCAAGTGGCTACAGGCCTTGCAAAACAAAACAAAAAACAAATCTTATATAGTATGGTGGCCATTTTTAACTCATACTAATATCAATGAATATGCATTACAATTTCAATCGAGTCAGATAACATTATGGAATGCTTACATTTACTGGACAGTCTCAGATTAAATATAACTACTGCTAATTGATGATATCAGGCCTATCTTTCCCCTTTATTTTGTATTTGTTATATCTTCCCTTCCCTTGTAGCTGAAAGGTTTCCCAATATTCTATTCAACAATATCTTTATCGTACCTTGTTTATATTGTTGTTCTTGTTTTTTGGTTGTATATAAATACAATAAAAAGTAAACAGCAGCAGCAACAACAACAGCAACAACAACAAAGAGGCAAGAACCCAGTCCTCTTGGTTCTAAACTAAGGGCTGATTTAAATAGGAACATGTGTGGTATGATTCTAAAAGGTAAAGGTACCCCTGCCCGTACGGGCCAGTCGTGTCCGACTCTGGGGTTGCGCGCCCATCTCGCTTAAGAGGCCGGGGGCCAGCGCTGTCCGGAGACACTTCCAGGTCACGTGGCCAGCGTGACGAAGCTGCTCTGGCGAGCCGGCACCAGCGCAGCACACGGAAACGCCGTTTACCTTCCCGCTAGAAAGCGGTACCTATTTATCTACTTGCACTTAGGGGAGTTTTCGAACTGCTAGGTGGGCAGGAGCTGGGACCGAAAGACGGGAGCTCACCCCGCCGCGGGGATTCGAACCGCCGACCATGCGATCGACAAGCCCTAGGCGCTGAGGTTTTACCCACAGCGCCACCCGCGTCCCTCTAGGTATGATTCTAGTGGATGTAACTATTCCCCTCCAGCCACCCATTATAGATGGGCCTTAAGATCTATCAAGGTCACCACTTTCACACTAGTTCCACTCTTGAGAACCCATTCTGTGGTTTTTTTCCTGGATGCCCAGCAGAGGGCCATTTCGGAGACTATGAAATCGCAAGAGCTCTGCAGCCCTAAGATTTGGTTGCAGGCAGAATTGCTACCTCATACTTTGGATTTTGAAAATATAAGGCCAATTTTCTCTGTGATCCTGCTGTCAGCCTTCTGCTCTCACCTCTTGTGCGGAACACCTGGATACCTGCTTGCCAACATGGACGAAGAAGGGAGAGTGGACACTGGGGCCACAAATCAAATGGTTGAGAAGAGCTGTGCCCAAGAGACAAGGGAGCTAGCGAGGGGTTGTAATGTGGCCCCTGTATGGGCTGCCATCATCACCCCTCCCCACTCATCATGTGACGTGGGGTGAGCTTTAACATCCCTTAGTTTTATAGCCTTTGGACGAAACAGCACTGGATAACTCAGTTGGCTAGGGTGTGGTGCTGATAACGCCAAGGCTGCAGGTTTGATCCCTGTGTGGGACAGCTGCATATTCCTGCATTGCATTGGGTTGGACCAGATAAACCTCAGGAACCCTTCCAGCTCTACAGTACTATGACTGTGAAAACATAAGATGAGACTTGCTGGATTGTCCTGCGTCCTGTTCTCACAGTGGCCAACCAGATCTCTTTCTCCATTCCCTTCTCTGATCTTTGCTCTCCCTCACCGCAGCATCTTCTGCTCCCTTGGGATAAGCACTTCTCTCTCAGCCCGATGTGAACCAGGTATGAGACGGATGTTAAAATCACAGAGAAGGGAACAGAAGGAGCTGCTGTCTACAGAGCCAGACCTCCAGCCCATCAAATTCAGTATTATCTACTGAGCTGCAGTTGTTTCGTAAGCCACCATTCCAATAGTGGTGCCCCTGGTCAACAGCGACAGGCAGCGGCTCAACAGGGCCACAGGCAGGAGACTTTCCAGCCCTACCTGGTGATGCCATTGGAGCTTGAAGCTAGAGCCTTCTGAACACAAAGCAGATGTCCTGCCACAGAGCCCTTCCCCCAAGAGTCCAGCCCTTATGACTCTGAATAATGGGCTGGGGTAAATAACATAGGGAGCTGCCTTTCAGCAAGCCAGACTGCTGGTCTAGCTAGCAAGCATTGTCTACACTGACCGGCAGCAGCTCTCCCAGGTATCTTTCCTAGTCCTAGGTGAATATGCGAGGCGTAAACCCTACCGCTGGCAGCGTCAGTGACAAAAGGTGGTTCGTGGTACCCTAGTGTCCTGGCGTTTTTTCTTTCACTAAGCTCACTAAGGGACACGGGTGGCACTGTGGGTAAAAGCCTCAGCGCCTAGGGCTTGCCGATCGAAAGGTCGGCAGTTCGAATCCCCGCGGCGGGGTGCGCTCCCGTTGTTCGGTCCCAGCGCCTGCCAACCTAGCAGTTCGAAAGCACCCCCGGGTGCAAGTAGATAAATAGGGACCGCTTACTAGCGGGAAGGTAAACGGCGTTTCCGTGTGCGGCTCTGGCTCGCCAGATGCAGTTTTGTCATGCTGGCCACGTGACCCGGAAGTGTCTCCGGATAGCGCTGGCCCCCGGCCTCTAGAGTGAGATGAGCGCACAACCCTAGAGTTGGACACGACTGGCCCGTACGGGCAGGGGTACCTTTACCTTTAAGCTCTCCAAAGCCCGACCCTTCCAAAGAGCAGCACAGAAATCGCATGTCTTCCCTTACCTTTTCAGAGCCAGCGTCAAGAAAGGGAGATGCCCCCCTCCCAAGCTATGCTGGAATTGCCTGGGAATTAAAGGAAGAGAGCCGTCTAATTTTAACCACCGAGAAACTTACCAGGGAATCCAGAGGACTCTCACAGAATCTTACTCTTCTGTGTGTGTTTGACTGTTGCCGAGCAACAGTCCCCAGGGGGTTGCTGGGCTTCCAGCTACAGAGTGAGGTGGGTCATCTCCCTTTTCTGGCAGCTGGAGGAGGGTGAGCGCCTTCGTGTTGAGCCTTGCTGCAATGACATCACTGTGTTGTTAGGAATAAAATGAGAGAGAGAGACGAGAGATCAGAGTTAACAGCCAAGCCTTACGCTGGGAGGAGGCAGTGACAGCCGCATGACCCTTCCTGGGGGAAGAGGAGATCACACGTTTCAGCAAGTGCCTCAAACAGCCTGGAGGGCAGCAAGGGAGCTGCGGTGATGGTGGTAGTGGCGGTAGATGGGTTGTCCCCCCCCCCAGGCTGTAAGCAGAGAATGGGTCTGTTGCAGGTCAAATTCTGGGAAAGGCTTTAGGCGGACTCCTAACGATAAAGAGAGTAGGGCATGTTCCTGGGGCCAGCTGGTCACAACGCCCTCGTGGGCTCTTTGATATAAAAGGTAGCCTTTAGAACCGTGTCGATGGGACTGAGATAAAACTCCTTGGCACAGCAAACAAGTAAGAGGTGCGCATTAAAAGCTAGCCGGGCAGCGTGAATTTGGTGGGGCTTACTCCTGAGTAAGCCTTGTGCTGTAATTAACTGACAGGGCAGGCATGGTCTGATTTCAGCCATCCTTTTCTGAGGGCACAATTATTATCTACACATTTAAGATAGTCCCAAACCTGAGCCGTCATGGCTTCTTACATAAAGCTGAGCCATTGGGCTGCCCAGCTTACTGTTGTCCACAATGACCTGCGGCAGCTCTCCAGGGTTTCCGGGATGGGACCTCCTTGGTCCTGCCTGGAGATGCTGTCAGGGATTGAACCTGGGACCTTCTGCGTGCAAATAAGATGTTCTGCAATTGGCCATGTCTCCAGGGGAGGCTTTGCTCTTATGTTCTTCCACCCCCAAACGTATCTTTGGCAAGGGTGAACAGAAGAGACCACCTCTGTCATCGGCATGGAGGCTGTGGAACTCCCTGCCCCAGGAAATAACATTGGCTGAAACCCTTCTGCTTCCCCCCCCAACCATTTGTTGACTGAGCAGACAGCAGAGTCTGCCCAGAGCCCAGACAATTAAGACATGAGCGTATTTTAAACATTAATTAGAACATGTGAATACATTAAAAATTAATCTGTGTGATTTCCTGTCTGAAAACCAGCAGAAGGTGCATGACAGCATGAGTGGACTAGTAGTTCCACTGGACTCAGGCTAGCCAGCTATTAAAACTTGGTTATGGAATATTTTGCTGGTAATGATCTGCTCTTCTACTTAGCGTCTTTTCCCCACCCCTTGCTTTGAGCATCTAAGTCTGAGCTGGACAGATGGGAGTTAAACAGTAGGAAATCAGCAAACAAAATGGCTCTCCTTCAGGACTAGCGATTGTCCTCTGTGTGTGTGTTTGTCTTTTGCCCTCAAGGCAATGCTTTCATCTGGCCCTGAATGCAAGGCATTTTTCCTTTTGGTCACATCCACATCATATATTTAAGCACACTGAACACACATGAATTCCCCCAAAGAAACCTGAGAACTGTAGTTTGTTAAGGGTGCTGGGAATTATAGCTCTGTTGGGGGGGGGGATAAACCACAGTTCCCAGTATATATATTTTTGGGGGTAGTAATGAACTTTAAATGTGCATGAGCAGTGAAAACAGGGTGCTAGCATTTTCCTGATTGGGCCACTGATGATGTTTTAAGCAGAGAGGCTTCAGCACCCTAATCTTTGGGGCTACCTCCTTCATCTGCTATTTTTCAGAGGATGCTATGGGAGGACTAGAATGTGGTTTCAGACAGCGGGAATATTCCCAGCGCTACCTGGAGAGGCCAGGGTTGAACATGGCGCCGTCGGCATGCAAAACAAGATGCTCTCTATCAATGAGCTATGGTCCTTCCCTTAAGAATAAAGAAATATTCCAGTCCTCATGGCTTTGAATGAATGCCTGATTTAAATAGGTACACAGGAAGCTGACTGAGTCAGACCATTGGCCCGTCTGGCTCAGCGTTGTCTACACTGACTGGCAGTTCTTAACATTTGTGCATACCCTGCTCTCTGCTTTCCGTTGACTTTTCCCCTATGCGTTCCCTTTCCAGAAAAATGTGCACACTTGCTGATTCTCATGCTGCTTTTGGCTGTTCTTCTTGGACATTTTAATGGCTTTCCATATTTTTGTGTGTTTAAAATACAGAATGTTCTCAAATATCATTGGAATCCCTGGACGCAAGGCCAAGAAATGTACTGTATATACTGTAACCGGCCAGGCTTGAATGGTGAGTATTTTGTTTGCAGTCCAGCAGCAGGAGGAAGACCCTTTCGCAGGCAACTTTTCGCAGGGAAAGTAACTTGGTGTCACAGATTTAATCAGAGCATGGAGTCAAGCATTCTGTTTATATTATTCAACTGAATGCCCTAGATATGCAACGTGATTGTGAGTTCAAGCCTGAGATCAGCGGCCAAATAGAAAATGCCTTTCGAAGTTTGCTGGGTTTCGATGCCAGTACATTGATACTTTTTTACTGCTCTTGTGCATTAATGTGCAGAAATGAAGCAGGGGAAAGGAATCATAGCTCAGTGGTAGAACACCTGCTTGGCATGCAAAAGGTCCCAGGTTCAATCTCTAGATAGGGCTGGGAAAGACCTGAAGCCCTGGGAAGCTGCTGCCAGTCAGTGTAGACAATTCTGTGCTAAATGGACTCAGTTTCAGGCAGCTTCCTATCTTAACCACGTATTTAGTTAGAATCATGAGGACTATAGTCTTGTACTTGCTTAGGGTACCAGTAAAGCAGGGACACCAAAAAATGAGAACATTTTTGGAATAAATTTGATATACTGTACTGTAGATCTTTTTTTAAAAAGCATTGGGGGGAAATTGAGGGAAATCAGAACTTTGTTAGATTTCTTAACATCTCATGACACACTCTTCCCCATTTTTCTGGTTTCTTTTCATTACTTACCCACATCTCAATGAGAGGGGCATCCAATTAACACAGATCATGCAAGAAAATAAATTCTGCAATGTGTTGTGCATGACATACGTCTATATTCAGCATATGTGTAAGGTTTGTGACATTTTGAAAACTGAACTTTTATTTTACAGCTTAGGTTGGCTTTTATTTCAAATTACATATGACGGAACCATAACCTTTGCAGTGCTTAGGGCCTCTAAATGTCTTAATCTGGCCCTGAGAACATCTTTGGCCCTCGAAAGGTGTCTGTGCTTCACCTCCCATCCTCACCCTTGGAGCACTGGTCAATGGCTGGCTGCTGGGACTTGTTTGCACCTAGAGCTGCAGGTCCGAAAGAGGTTAGTGCAGTACTCCCCCCCCCCGATTACCTAGGGCAGGGGTCTGCAACCCACGGCTCCGGAGCCGCATGTGGCTCTTTTACATCTTTGCCGCGGCTCCGGGGCGGATACTAGCGAGGGGAGGAGGCGCATTGTGCGCCCTGACACTCCCCACTGTGGCGGGCGCTGTACTGGCTGTGACGTCGCATGGGGGTGGTGCGTGCGTTAGTCACGCACCGTCCCGACGTCACCTTCCCGTCCACTGTCAGATCGCGGCTCCGGAGATATATTTGTTTTAAATGTCGCAATGGTTTTGCAGCTCCCAGTTGTTGTTTTTTCTTCGGAAACGGGTCCAAGTGGCTCTTTTTGTCTTAAAGGTTGCAGACCCCTGACCTAGGGGGGCACTAAGAGGCAAGGGGGTGGCAGGGGGTCACAGGAGGCCCTTCAAATGCTTTGATTGTTTATTTACTTACAATTGCCAGGCCAAAGCCTAGAGCAAAACACCTTCCTCACTTCTTATTTAAAGTTTTACTGCTCTTATTGCTTTCAAAGCTATTTCCTTTGGACACATTTTTACAGTTCTGAGTTTTCCCAAGCTAGCCAATTACTGGTAACAGCTACTGGTTTTCTCATAAATCAGTTCTTGTAGGTATGTAGGTGAAGCTTTGTGCATCTTATATATAAATATATTATGTTATAAATTTCCTACACTCTTATTTTCCTTAGTACGCGCAATAATAATTCTCCATGCAATATTCTTTGCCGTATATTCTTTTCTTTTAGCTACAAGATGAGATCGGAGCATCTCTTTATTTTTATACTACCCCGTGTCACACACTCGCGCCTATATAGGTCCTCTTTCCGAGGACCTATGGCTATAAATCGGACTTTGGAACAAACCCGCAATTAACTGTTACTTTGAATTCCACTGCGCCGTTATTACCTTCCTTAGTGGGTCATGCAAACTGTACCCTAAATAATGCTTTTTTAAAAGACAGGGTAGCGGGGCGGAATGCATTTTTATAGGGTGGCGGGACACTGGGGGTGAGTTTATGGAGCCGGGGGGGGGGGGGGCATTTCCCAAAAGCCGCACTGACCTAGACGCTCTCTCAGCACCGGGAGCGCGAGGGTTAAGCTCTGCAGAGGGAGGCGGAGCGGCGGCGTGTGGGCGGGGCGCCGGAGGAGGCGGAGCGTCCCCCGCTTGACAGGTGGCGCATGCGCGCTGGCGCTTCATTGTGCCCGGCCGGCCCAGCCCCGCCGCGCCTCAGTCGGCGAGAGACCGTTGGCGGGCGAGGAGCTGCCGCCGCCGCCGCCGCAGCTGTGGTCTCCGCCGACGCGCCCTCCTTCCCTCCCCCCTCCCTCCCCTCGCGGTCGCCTCAGCCGCCGCCCGCCCTCCCCCCTTCTCCCCTTCCGAGCCTCTCCGCCGCCCGGCCATGGAGTGACAGGGAAAGGAGGGGAAAGGCTCCCGGCAGGCCGGCCGGGGAGGCCCCGCCGCCGCGCCCCGATGGCTCTGGTGACGGTCCAGCGCTCGCCTACCCCGAGCGCCACCTCCAGCCCCTGCGCCTCGGTGAGTCTCTCTCGGCGCCTCGCGCTCCCTCAGCCGCCAGGGGGGAAGGCGCCGCCGCATAGGGTCCGGCGCGAGGCCGGGCGCGCATGCGCGGCATCCTCGCGCGCCGCTCTTTGCCTCCCTTCTCGGCCAAGCGCCCCGATTCCGCGCTGCTCTTTCTCGCCGGGGTATTTTGTCCCCCTCCCGACGCCGTCCCCCCTCCCTCCGCCCCCCTCTAGGCTCGCGTTGACAGCTGCAGCCCATTTATTCTGTCTTTCCCCCCTCATTCATTCATTCATTCATTCTGCCATCCACCCCCCCAACCACACGCCTCTCCTTTAATTTCTCCTCCTGACTGAATGAGGGCGCGGAGCTGCTAAAGCTTTCTTTTTTTGAAAGGGGTGTGCGTCTCTTTATTTACGATTTATCTCAGGAGGACCACAGGAATAAGAGGGCAAGGAGATCGCGGCGGGATCAGGCCAAAGGGGGCCTATCTAGGGCAGCATCCTTTCCCACAGGGGCCAACCAGGTGTCTGTGGGATACCTGCAAGCAGGATTCCAGCACAAGAGCCCTCTCCCCTCCTGCTGTTTCCAGCAACTGGTGTTCAGAAGCTTTGCTGTCTCTGTGGAGGCAGAGCATTGCCATCGTGGCTAGCAGCAGTTGATAGTCTTGCCCTCCCTATAAGAACATCAGAAGAGCCTGGTGAGTCAGGCCAATGGCCCATCTAATCTAACATCCTGTTCTTACAGTGGCCAACCAGATGCCCCAAAGAGAAATCCTCAAGCAAGACCTGAGCACAAGAGGACTCTCCCCTCCTGTGGTGTCCAGCAGCTGGCATTCAGAAGCACGGCTGCTTCGAAAACGAGACTGCCTTATACTGAACCAGGCAAAATATCCCTTCAAAATAAAGCACAAGCCCAGCCCGTGTGGTTCTTAATTAAGGGGCTGATTTGAAACAGGGACATAGGAAGAGCTTACACCAAGTCAGACCACTGGTCCATCTAGCTCAGTGTTGTTTGCACTGACTGGTAGTGGCTCTCGCAGCCCTACCTGGAGAAGCCATTGGAGACTGAACCTGGGACCTACTGCATGCAAAGCAGATGCTGTGCCATCTGGGCTTACAGTCATTTCCCTAAAAGCAAAGTAAGATTCTAGCCCTCATTGGTTCTGAATAGTCTTGTTTATTAATTTATTAAATTTGTATACCGCCCTTCATCCGAAGATCACAGGGCGGTTTCGCCACATAAAAATACAAAATGAGATCACATAATGCATAATAAAAGAAAAAGGAACCAATAACCTCCTGCCCCAACACATTAAAAAAGTTCATGGAATGTTAAATCACCCGAAGGCCTGGTTATAGAGAAAGGCTTTCCCGTAGTGGCTAAAGATATGTAATGAAGGCACCAGGCAAGCCTCCTTGAAATAAGAAGATAGGATGCTGCCATACAGTAAATCAGACTTTTGGTCCATGTAGCTCAGTATTGGGTAATGTGACCGGCAGCCGCTCTCTAGGGTTTCAGACTGGGAACATTCCCAGCCCTACCTGGAGATGTTGAGGACTGAACCTAGGCCCTTCTACGTGCAAAGCAGGGACTCTGTACTACTGAGCTATGACTTCCCCATCCAATGACTCATTTCAAGTTTTAAGTTCTTGTTTTGCAAGGATGTGCACCTTAGAATGCTGTTGTTTTTTAAAGAAGGGATTTTTTTTTGAGTACCTGTGTGTACATTTGGAGCTGCCTTTATAAGGGCACAGACCTTTCAAGAAAGCTTACACTAAAAATGCAGCAAATTAATGTAATTAATAGTAATTCTGCCACCATCTGCCCTGTGGAAAGGATCCTGATTACTTTGTTATATGTTGGTGTTGTTTGTTGTGGTTTTAAAAAACGTGCCTCATTGTTTCTCCTAATCTCTCTTGGAATGATTTCCCCCCCTGGAAGGTGGGATATAAGAAACTCTAATAAATATGCAGACAGAAACTATAGCAAACAAACCACTTGTAGAAGCCAGCTAGAAGGGCCACTGGAGCACAGTGGTGGAGGGCCTACTTAGGATGCCAATGGTCTTGGGTTCAAGGTCTCAGTGGCATCTCCGACTTAGGACTGGGACCTGACTGAAATTCTGGAGAACTGTTTCCAGCCGCCGTGGGCAGTGCTAAGCTTGATGGGCCAGTGACCTGACTTGGGATAAAGCAGCTTCCTATGTCCCTAAGAATAGAACAACGGCATCCGGTCCTAAAATACTAAAATACAGGACATTCCAGTTGCCAAAATCAGCAGCAGGAGAATCGAAACATCTCTGGAAATAACAGAGAAAAACAAATGGGTCTTTAGGACTTTCCCAACCACCTGAAGGGACAGGGCCTGAGTCGGAGAGAGGTTGGTAATTCATTCTAGGCACATGGAACCACAGCAGAAAGGCCTTCTCCCTTGTACTTGGCAACTTGATTACTGTATTCTCAATAGTGGGTATATGAGGAAGTAGCCAGTTCCAATCTCCTGCTGTACTTACGTTAGCATCCTTCTCCCACCCCCTTGTATAAAAAGGTAAAGGTAGCCCTGCCCGTACGGGCCTGTCGTGTCCGACTCTAGGGTTGTGCGCCCATCTCACTTAAGAGGCCGGGGGCCAGCGCTGTCTGGAGACACTTCCGGGTCACGTGGCCAGCATGATGAAGCTGCTCTGGCGAGCCAGCACCAGCGCAGCACACGGAAACCCCGTTTACCTTCCCGCTATAAAGCGGTACCTATTTATCTACTTGCACTTAGGGGTGCTTTCTAACTGCTAGGTGGGCAGGAGCTGGGACCGAAAGACGGGAGCGCACCCCGCCGCGGGGATTCGCACCGCCAACCATACGATCGACAGGTCCTAGGCACAGGTTTTACCCACAGCGCCACCCGCGTCCCACCCCCTTGTATAGATGCCAGTTTCTTTTTTAAAAAGGCAACCCACGATCACCACACTTGATTTATTACTAAAAATGTCATTTATCCTGTGCATTATTTTCTGGGATTAAGACATTAGAATTTGGGCTTGTTGTAGGCATGGATGGGGCTGCACTGCCATTCCACTTTTCTGTTTTAAAATACTTAAAATATATTTAAAAATAAGAAAAATAAAACAAAAGAGTACTAACTTACAAAAAAAAATACAATTAGGTATAATATGATGGGGAGACTAAAGCTTCATATACTCTAATGTAATTTGATTTATTTCCAGTTTTCTATTAACTTGTGTTATATATTTGTGTCTCCTTGTTTTGCAACAAATCATTTTTTGAAAAACAAACAAGCAAGATTTTCCTCCATTTTAGTTTTGTTAACTTGTCTGCCTGAAACTGTTATGAAGAAGGCTATAAATGCATCTGAAGTGATTGGTCTTTGTCGCCATAGATATCTATCTTTCGTAATATATTTTTTTTGCAAGGGGTGGGTAGTTCACTAACAGCACCATCCTTTGCATGTTTACCTAGATGTCCTCTTTCTGTCAGTCTTACTTGCTCTTTAAACGTAGGTAAGGATGAATAAATGTGCATGTTTCGATTTATCAGTTTCTCATTTTTCCAGTTTTAAGCTGAGTTTTCCGTCTTTCCACAATGGTTTACATTAAGTCCTCATGAAAATTAATCAGCATGTTAGTGTGCATTTCACCTAATATTCACATTTTTGTATGCCATTTTACCCAATATACATATTGCAAATATTTTCCCCTGACCCGTTTGTATATTATGTGCATTATTTTTAGTGCATTTTTGGCATGCTTTGTACTGATAAACACATTTTGATATCTAGGTTTGCATTATACCATTCATCGGACCAAATTTCCCCCCATCCCTATCCTTGGCCTGTCCTTGTGGTGCTCTCTTCAACAGCATCTCCCCGTGTGTTTTCCCATTCCCCCTCCTTGTATTTCTGCACTGCTCAATCACCATTTAAAGTCATCATAGTAATATATTGCACCATTGGTGTTGCTTCTTGGCAAAAGGGTTTTTCATATCCATATCCGCTCCCACAAAAAAAAAAACGATTGCAGAGAACTCGGGGAGGCTTTTGCTTTCTGCAGAATGTGTGTTTCTGTATTCCTGATGGCCTTGCAGTCTGCCTCTCTTTGATTTTGAACAGTGTTATGATCGAAACCAGCAGCTGGCAGCCCCTGGGCCAAATCCACCCCACAGAATGGTACCACCTGCTGCCCTTGCATGAGGAAACTAGGCGCACGGCCATTTTGGCAGGGATGGGCATTCAGCATGTTCAGACACCTTGCTACCCTGCTCCTACCCAAATCACAATTGCTGACCAAGGGATATACCACACCTGGTTCCACACAGAGAGGAGGAAGAGGTTTATCTTTACACTATTATTCTGAGGGATGCTCAGGTTTCTGCTTACGGTTATATTTTTTTGTTTGAGCTGTGCAGGGTCACTTTGAGGAGCATTCAGAAGCTGGCCTTATTAGAGAGCTTTCCCCAAGCCCTTTCCATTTTTTAAACTCCTGTCCAAGCTTTTATTGCCCGGAGGTTTTCCAAGCGCCTTGCTGATAAAATGAAGCAATGAAACAAGGCAATAAAGATCACAATAAATATATGCGGAATTGCCAGTCCAAAGAAGCTTCCTTGGCCAAATGGTGAAGGCCAGCTCTTAATCAGCCTCCTGAACTGCAGGCACAGAGTGGGGCTGGTTGGCTTGCTGGGGAAGTGAGTTATGCTTCCACACAACCTGTTTATTGAGCACTTACCCCTGATTTGCTTGCAGGGAGATTAGACAATGTTGGCTATTTAATGAACATTCGTTGTTTGAAGGGAGGTTAGATGGTGTGGCATCAAACCCAGTTCCACCCTTTCCAGTGAATTTCCATATCACTTTCCTTATCATAAGAAGTCTGATGTTTTTGTCAAGATTGTGCAGCCTAAATGTGATTGAATCACACCCAAAAAAACGGTGGCAGCCTAGAAGTGCCCACTGTCACATACTGCGTGTATATGGGGTCCAAGGCAGGTTTATTTGGAAGTAAAGATTGTAGCCAAAGACTTGGAGAGAGGTTTGCCTCTGAATACTGGCTGCTGGGAAACCCAAGTGAGGAATTTGCTTATTGCCTTCATGTCCTCTTTTCGGG